TTTGCAAATATATATGACTGGAGAGACATACACCCAATTTAATAGTGGTTACCTACGGTGATAGGACTACAGATGATTTGAATGTTCTTTTTGTTTTCTGGACTATCTACAATAAATATGTATTTTGTAATGAGAAAAGCAGTTACTAAAAATGTCTTTCCAAGAGTTTGTTCTCTATCAAACCACATCTATAAGGTAACATGGGAAGGTGTTAGGGTTGGTAAGAATTAAAACTGTTATTTTCAATTTCTGTAATATGTGTACTATTTTTATTTAGTATTAAAACTTTAATTTATAATAATTTTTATAAAATCTATGGAACCATTATATATTTTAATATTAATTTTATAATATTCATTATAATAAACACGTAACTATTAAAAACATTTAAAAACCTGTCTATACTATGTAAAATTAAACTGCATACCATATGAACCACATTTTAGGAAACATGAATTAAAATCTGAGAAAGATAGGAGAGGTGTGTGTGTGGAGGGGGATAAGCAGATAATTACAGGATAATTTAAAATATGTCCATATATGGAGGAAACACAAGGTTACAGCTGACAGAGCAAGTCACCAATTAACTGGGCTTACGGGCACAAATAAAGTGTTAACTTTGGAAAAGAACAAAAAAACCTTTCTGAGATGGGAAGATAAGGAGAAAGATGAAGACAGAGAAACTGTAAAGTGGAGAATAAATTAGATTAACAGAACTATTAGAGTTGGCTACTTTAAATGGGAAAAAACATAGCCTCTTATGCATAGCATGTAAAACCATTCATATTAAAATCTATTTAGAGGGAGCTTTAAAAATAAATCAGAGATAAGTTATTGAACACTGGGAATAACTAGCCAATTGTCTCACAGCTAACCTGCTTGGCAAATTTCCCTGGTCATCTGTAGCACCTCTGTTAATTGTACAAGGACCAGTTTTAGGAAGTTTAATAGAACCAGTAGGACCATCCTACAAGGGCTTCTATGATTTCTAGATTTTTCTTGAAGGTGGCTCCTTGGGTGGCAAAAACTTCTTTCTAGTAGAACTCTGTAAGAGCCACAGAATATTTTATGAAAAACATCGGTGCAGTTATATTTAAACAAAGTGGCTTGATGAAGATCTAGCTTTACTTAAAAGATTATTTACTTTATGAAATAATCTGCCACAAGACTTCTTTAAATAGCAAAATCCTCCAGTAAAGGCATTTATTCATTTGCAGTTAAATATTTACTTGCTTGAGGCTAAAGGCACATGCATGCCTTGTGCTGAGCCTCTGCACATTCTCCTCCCTTTCCATCAACTAGCTTTTACTCATTTTCTGTCTACTCTGAGTTTCAAAGTTATAGTATTCTTCCCTTCACAACACTTATCACTACTGCAATTAATTTTTTTAAATTAATTAATGAATTTATTTTTGGCTGCGTTGGGTCTTCATTGTTGCGCGCAGGCTTTCTCTAGTTTCCGCGAGCAGGGGCTACTCTTCGTTGCGGTGCACAGCCTCCTCATTGCGGTGGCTTCTCTTCCTGTTGAGCACAGGCTCTAGGCACATGGGCTTCAGTAGTTGTGGCTCACGGGCTCTATAGTGCAGGCTCAGTAGTTGTGGTGCACAGGCTTAGTTGCTCCGTGGCATGTGGGATCTTCCTGGACCAGGGCTCGAACCCGTGTCCCCTGCATTGGCAGGCGGATTCCCCAACCACTGCGCTACCAGGGAAGTCCCTGCAATTAATTTTTAATGTAATTCTTTTAATGCCTTTCTCCCCGAAAGACCGCAAGTTTCATAAAGAAGGGAAGAGGCTGTATGTGTTGTGTTCATGGCAATACAGAGCCCAGCAGCATATTTTAGTCCATAGGAATAGTCCAATAAATACCTATGACATCAATTTAAGATCTCTGTTGTTAAAAGAATACAGTCTTGGTTAAGACATAACAAGAAACCATTGTACATACATCCTCGGCTAAACTCCAGGAAGCACTAAAGCTCTCAACTCACAGATCAGAGTACCATTCCTCACAGATTCCAATAACTGGCTTATAAGTAAACAGGGATAGGAAGAATTTGAAACTATTCAGGAGAAATCTTTAAATTTCCATTTCCTACATCTCATGTCTCTGCATTTCCATTACCTACATCTCCTTTTCCAATGTGCAGAGATAAATGGGGCAGACGAAAAAAAGGCAACAAGTGAAATATAAACTCCTTATCACTCACTAAAAGGAGGATTGTTATTAGAGAAAGCGCTTCTGTGTCTGCCAGCATACAAAATGGAGACTGGAATGCTGCTTGCCATCGGGCAATCCTAAAAAATGTTAACAATTCAGCACTACAGGGAATAAGACCTTGAAAGTATGTAAAGAGTGATCAAAATGTACTGTTTTAAGGATACACACATAAAGAAGATATTAAAGGGAATAACTGAGGTAGCAATGTTAAGACCGAGCACTTTTTCATTTTACAGCAGTGATGGGAGAGGCAGGAGGAGGAAAATGTGACAGAGACGCAAGATAGAGGGAAGAGTATGCTCATATTCACTAATAAATACTGCATGCTGACAAAGAGTGCGATACCAAAATTGAGAGAAGAGCAATCAGTTGGTAATCATAAATGGAGCAAGGAGGGACTATTAGATGGATGCCTGACACTGTCACATTGCAGGCAGGAAAGAGAAAAAGGAGGAAGGGACAAAGACACTTTTTTTTTTTTTAAATTAAAAAAACATTTTTTTTTGGCCGTGCCATGTGGCATGTGGGATCTTAGTTCCCTGAACAGGGATCGAACCCATGCCCCCTACAGTGGAAACAGGGAGTCTTAATCACTGGACAACCAAGGAAGTCCCCAAAGACACTTCTAGTAGCAGCATCCATGAAGTAGAAATAGTGGTCAAAATGCTAGGAAAGCTCAAGGTACACCTGACAACATTCTGATGGTAAGGGAAAAACCAGCAGCGCAGAAAAGCAGGGCTAAAAGGTGTAAAGACAGCCCAGCAGGGATAAGATATAAGCCTTGAGAGCAGGTCGTACAGGAGGCAGCCACAACTGACTGAAGCTGATCGTTGGGTGCATTCTTTCTAACTGATTCCTCTCTTTGCACCAACCTTCCTAGTATTTTTAAAGAGCCCTCCCTGCATTTGTGTGGATTTTTTTTTTTAACATTAGCACTACCATATGCATTTAATATCACCTAGGAGAGACTCAAAGCTCATCAGTCTGATGCACTGCCAAATGTCAGATGAGTGAAAGTAGCAGAACAGGTTTAATGCCTCCAAATTCTCTCTCCCTTCTTTCCAAATAATGGATTTCGGTCTGCTAAAAGGTACAAAGTTCTTTCCAGAGTCTAGATCTTTTGTAAGCCATAAGCCTGATACTAGAGGTTACCTTCCCCTCTGTTGTGACCTCTCCACCTCATTTGTTCTAGTTTTGATTTTTTTAAATCGATCTTAGGGTTGGCAGCTTTGGCTTAGTTACCAAAGCCCAGTTCATGATGTTCACACTGTGTTCCAAGAGGGGAGGCTGAGCGCTCCCAAACTCAATTCCACCATGGCATGCTGCTTTGTATGTTGGGGTTTCTGGTAAGAATTCAACGGGAAAAATTGTTCCACTCCTTTATGGAATCAGTACTTACTGCAAGGTATATTTTAAACCACTTAGTTTTTGTATGTTTTTAAAACTGGGTCTTCTGATGGGCAAAAGGTTGTTTTTATCTCTCTCCTCCCGCCCCCCATTTTACAGACCCTAAAGCGGGCATTTAAGAGTCAACTGAATACACTTCCTTAAACAATGTAGTCTCTGAGAACACTGGGGAATTTCTAAAATAATTATTTATTTCCATGTGTTGGTGCTTAAAGATGATCAAATTGGGCACAGACCAAAATGTTATGTGTGTGTAGGGGGTTGGCCTGGCACACGTGTTAAGAAGATTTTAAGAGTGGTAAGTTTGACAGGTAAAGCAAAAGGTGTGTGGACACTAAGGTAAAAGCTTTTCCCTTACAGAAACCGAAAGACTCAACAGCACATTTTCTACCGGGACGGGCTTCTCAGCCCCAGAAAGGGCTCCGTGTCCTTCATCCTCATGAGCGAAGTCTGATCCCGGCTTTGAATAAATCTTCCGAGTCCCTGCTTTCAGTGGAGAGATAAGGCTTTCTACAGACAAGTAGATTAGGGGTCGCCTCTTCGTCGCTTCAGAATAATAAAGGGCTACGAGACCGCAGGCTTGGGAGTTGTGGCAACGGCGACAGGGACACAGGAAAAAGGGGCAGATTCCGCGCCGTCCTGCGGCCCCCAGGCCTGTCAGCTCTTCACCCGCCCGCCCACCCCCATTCTTCGGTCTAAACTTACCAGGTGGGAGCTACGGCCTTGGACAAGGAGTAAGTTACTGAGCTAGGTCGAGTCGAGTTCCGCTGCGCTTCTTAAAGACGCTGCCGAGAAGAGGCTGAAACCCAGCAGCCGCCGCCGTCGCCACCGCCTCTGTTACCGGGGGGTCTCGCCTCCATCGCTGGCTGCGAGAACTCTGAAGGCACGTGACCGGAAGGACCAAGGCGGGCCTGCGGGGCACGTGACCCCAGAGCGCGGCCGCCATGATACCTTCCGCTAGTTCCCTCCCTTCCCCGCCGGTGCCCGCCTGTTTCATTTCCTCTCGCCGGCTTTAAGCGGTGAAGGGTCCCGGGATCCTGCCTGGCTCACCCCTTTGGCCTAGAGCTCCTCCGGTCCCGATCGGCGCTGCGCCTTCGGCCGACAGCGGCCCGCTTACTGCAGGCCACAGAGAGCGTAATCACGACCGCGGCCCGAGGGGGAGGGACCACGCGCCAGTAGGGGCGTAACCTGTCACGTGACGAGGAAGTACAGTTAACAGCTTTGTCCCAGCGTCCCCGGCGCTCCGGGATGACGTAAGCCAGGGAGGGGAGGAGCAGGAGGGGAGACTGAAGTTAAGGTGCGGCTCTTGGTGCGCGGTGAGTGTTAACGGCACCCAGCCGGGAGAGAGGGTGTGACCCATTGGAATTTGGGGGCTACCGGCCTGGAGATGGTGGAGAGAGGCTGAGACCTACAGGCTGTGAGCCTGGCTTTGAAAACTTGATTACCGAGGCTCCTTTCAAGAAATCTGAGTATAGTATTAAGTTACTGCTGTTAAAATGTTAGGAGTTCCGCTAGTCAGGGAGCTTGTGGTCAGGAACTGTCTGCAGTGGGGTGTGCGAGGCATGCTGAGTGCATGAATGAGTGAGTCGCCATTTCTTGGTCTGAGGTGAAGAGTTGTTCTCTGTTACTTGGGTTTAAAGATCCCCATTACGGGAATGAGGGAATCTCGTACTTCCCCTCCGCATAGTATCTTTAATTTTTGCTTCCTTTCTTTTCTCTTTTGCCTCCTCTTCCTTCCACGCCCCTAGTGGGGAAGAAAGAAAGCTGTGATTTGCATTGGGTGTTTGCGCAGCAAACACTAGTCCATTAAAATGAATAAAAATGAGTACTAGGACGAAGAGAAAAGACTTCTTGATTCTACTGCTCCTTTAGTTACCATCGAGCAGTGCGGGGAAATGGAAAGGTAATTAGATTTGGACTCAGGATTAGTGGATTCTAGTCGCAGCTCTACTTGTGAACTCTGTGACCTTGGGCAAGTCAACACTTCAAAAAGTTCTTTCATTGACTTTGGTAAGCATTTATGACCACCTTCTATTTGCTTAGTTTTTTGCTAGGCTAACAGTGTGACAGACTTAACAGAAGTAATAGTTAAACTCGGATCTGCAGGAAGTTAGTGTTTTGTTAGATGGAGGAAGATTCAAGGGACAGCATATATTAAACCATGGAGGCACAGAAAGTTTATAGAATGAAAGGTTTGTACAGAGCTTTTTGTTGTTAAGCACATACTTAACAAAATCTTGAATATATATGACGAAATCACTGTGCTGTACACTTGTAACTAACACAACATTGTAAATTAACTATACTTCAATAAGAAATCTTGTTCAAGAAAATTTAAAACATAGACAAAAGTAGACAGGATAATATAACGAACCCTCATGTGCACCTAACCAAACTTTAACAGGTATCAGCATTCTGCTGTTCTTGTTTGAACAGTTTTAAATTTTCTAGGTACTTTTTATATCCATTATCACATTTGATTAATGGCAGCTTTCAATTTGAGCTCAATTCTACTGTATCTAGGTACTGGCTAGGAAGATTATATTCATTTTATTTGAAAATTTCTTTGGGTTTTAGTTAACTGCTTGCTCTGTTGAATCAAAAGTGTGACATGGCACATTGTAAAGCAATTATACTCCAATAAAGATGTTAAAAAAAAAAAGTGTGACATGGCTACTTTAAAAAATCTGGAAAAAAAAGTCTGATACTGTTTTAGGATGTAACATAGAAATTTAGTGTCCAGGTCAAGGACTTAGTGTTTCTACTCTATTCTGTGTATCCAGCTACTTAAGGAGATTTATATTCAGTTCTGGAGACCACATTTTTAGGCAAACTAAAGCTCTTGTGTGGAAGGCTGATCAGAACAGAGAGGAATTTGGAAATTGTCAGGTCAGGAAGAACTGGGGTTGATGAATTTTTAGAAGACCTCATAACACTTTTCAAATACTGAAGGACTGTTTTGAAAGGAGTGAACTTATATCCTTAAACTGTAGAAGCCACAGTTGGAAATAAAAGCTCCAAGTCATCAGGTTTCAGCCCAATAGTAGAAAAAGTACGTTATAACAGTGAAAGCTGTGGAGGAGTGGAATGGGCAGCTTCATGAGAGGGAGCACTTCCTTTCCCTTGCTGAAAGTGTTCAGAGATCCAGCACAAGACTAATTCCTGAATTACGTGGATGTGTGCACTGAATTACCTATGAGTCTTCCACTTTGAGAATTCTGGGAAGTGGGACTTACGCTGGCCCTGAAAGGCTGGGCAGATTTTAGTAAGTAGATCTGGAGGGAAAGGAGTCATTTCAGAGAGTAAACGCAAAGAAAAATATAAATTTGGAGTTGGCTCAACACTATCACTAGCAACTTCTCTTGAGAACTGACATTGTTTATGCTATTCCTTTTTCATTCTCGTCTCTATTAAGTCTTTTTTCGAAAAATAGAAACTTACTAGGTTTTTTACTCTGTTAGGTCATAATTTCCAGGTCATTCTCTCTTCACTGAGATCAAGACCAAATGGTCTATCCGTCTCAGAGATTGTTTTAAGATTGCAAGTGGAAGAGATAGCCGCTGTGGGCCTGATGTCATTCCTTTCTGTCTTTCTTAGGATCTTGTACAGTGATTTTACTTTCTTTTTCTTGTATTTTCAGTCCCTTTCATTTTTTAAAAAAATTATTTATTTATTTGCCTGCTCCAGGTCTTAGTTGGGTCACACAGGATCTTAGTTGTGGCTGTGGAATCTTTGGTTGCAGCATGCAGGAATCTAGTTCCCTGACCAGGGATTAAACCTGGGCCCCCTGCATTGGGAGCACAGCGTCTTAACCACTGGACCACCAGGGAAGTCCCTTCAGTCCCTTTCATTCTAAAGCCTTTTCTTTTAGCTGCTATCTACAAATCTGTTTGCGTCTCCCCTGCTCACAAGGTCGAGAGGTTTTCTCCTCCACCAGATTTCTTGAGTAATTGAAAGGCCTTGTCTTTAGTTCCGTACCACCCCTCCCACCTTTTCTCAAGTCTTTTTTCTAGTGTCTACCCACAGCGCTTCACAGAAATTGTGATCTCCCAACACCAAATTCTTCAATGCCTTTCTGTTGCCTACCAAATTAAAATTTGTGCAGGTTCCTTAGTTTGAGATTCACAGTGCCTTGTACCTTGTGACTGAATTACTGTTCCAGCTTTATCTTTCATTTTTCTGTTGCTTGTGTCCTGTGTTTCAACCAAAGACTAAACTTGTATTCTCCAAATATATCTTCTGTATCTTTGCTTATTGCTGCCCTACCTGCTACCCTTTCTTTTTTCCTTGTGAAAAAACCTACTCAGCTCCAGTGCTACTTCCCTTAGGAAGTTTTCTATGGTTACTTTTAACTCAATGTGATCCCTCTGTCCTCTAAGTCCCGACATTGGACCTTGCTTACGTTTCCCTTATGAGGGGTGTGTGTGTGTGTGTGTGTGTGTGTGTGTGTGTGTGTGTGTCTGTATATATGATTTGTCTTTTTCTCCCTAGTTGATTATAAAGTGACTGATTTCTGGAATTATTTTATTTGTCTTGTTCGCACCACTGTGCCTCACATTCTACTAGAAACTGTCGACTCAGAGAAAAACACACAAGATGAGAGCTGTGAGTTTAAGTTTTATTCAGGGTCTTGCTGAGGACTATAGCCCGGCTAACAGCCACTTAGCCCTGAGAAAACTGCTCTGAAGAGGTAGGGGAGAAGACAGTTTATTTTATGTTATTTTATTTTTAAATTTTTATTGGAGTATAGTTGCTTTACAATATTGTGTTAGTTTCTGTTGTATAACAAAGTCAATCAGCAATGCATATACATATATCCCCTCTTTTCTGGATTTCCTTCCCATTCAGGTCACCACAGAGCAATGAGTAGAAGTTCCCTGTGCTATACAGTAGGTTCTCATTAGTTATCTATTTTATACATACTATCAATAGTGTATATAGAGAAGACAGTTTATATATGATTTTTGGCGAGGAAATAACTGCAAGTTAAGCCTACATCTTGGTAAAAGATTACTGCTAATCACAAAGAATAGATATCTCAAGTTAATGATTTTAGTGCTTTTCTATGTATGGGAAGGTGCAAAAATCTGGGGTGATTAAAATTCTTCCTGAGATATACATCTATGAGGGGCCTGCTTTTTTTTTTTTTTGCGGTACGCGGGCCTCTCACTGCTGTGGCCTCTCCCATTGCGGAGCACAGGTTCCGGATGCGCAGGCTCAGCGGCCATGGCTCACGAGCCCAGCCGCTCCGCGGCATATGGGATCTTCCTGGACCGGGGCACGAACCCGTGTCCCCTGCATCGGCAGGCGGACTCTCAACCACTGCGCCACCAGGGAAGCCCGAGGGGCCTGCTTTGTCCAAAGCAGAGGGCCTCATCCTGTTGTTAATTTCCTCTCAGAGTGCACTGGTGGTCAGCAACTGTAGTGGGTTACGATGTAACCCTTGTAGAACTGGATGGTGAGCAAAACTATTTGTCTTAGCAATCCTGATTTGTCTGTATCTACAGTACTTAATAAAATGAATGAGTGAAAAGGATGAGAGAAGATTTTTCTTAGATTAGGAATTCTCAAATATTTGAGTATAGGAGGACTACTAAAGAATTTTGTTTTTTCAGAGCACCATTCTCCTTGCAGAGATCAGCTGTATTACCAGCAGAAAATAAGACTATATTATGTGTATGCAGTAAAAAGTATTGTAAGCTTATATATGGCTTGCCCCTGGAAAGTGTGCTCCATGAACGTTAGGACTTTGTTTTGTCCTCTGTTTTATCTCTGGGACCTAGAACAATGCCTGGCACATAGTTGGTGCTAAGTATATATTTGTTGAATAAATGAGTGAGTGAATACATGTGTTTCTGAAAAAAAAAATTAAAACCACAAAGTATAAATTAAAAACAATTAAGCATAAACAATTGTTTCTGAATTTTTTTGTAGTATTTGTTTTTTATTCTCAATTTGGTAGGCAACAAAGGATTGAGGAAAAGTTAAAATTAATCGATAGAATTTTCTTAAATTCTGCTTTCTTCTGGAAACTGGTATAATTTGACAAAAATGTACACTTGAGAGTTGTTGAACAGGTAAGAACTCTTGTGTTAGTTTACAAAGTCTTCACTGGGTAGTTGGCATTTGCTACCTTGTATTCTTATTTCTATTCTTTCCTATCAGGCCTCTTATTGAAGCTCTTATTCCTCTTTCTGCCTAATTCCCCACACCTGACTTTTCACTTATTCACAGGCTGGAGAAAGCTATCCAGAGGCCCTTTCCTATTAAGCACGGTTAAAATGTGGGCTGATAACCATTGAATTTAACAAGAGACTTAAAAGCAGAAGATTTACAGCTCAAAGAATTGCAGCTGGAGGTGCTATTTTACCACAGAGGAGCTTGACAAAATTTCCCCTTATATCCTGCAAGCGTCTATTCTATCTGTTCACACTGTTAGGTAAAGAGAATGGGATAGGATTGTGGAGGGCCTTGAGAATCTGGATTTCATTCTGTGGGAGTTTTAGGAGTCAGGGAATAATCAGTACAAGCTGATGGTCACCTAAAATGTCACCTGCGTGTGTTTTCTTTCCACCTAGATGCCAAGGAGCTCCAGAATAGGGATCCTTGTTCCTTTCTCATGTTTCCCTGTTTTCTCCACCTGTTCATTAAATGCTTGCTGAAGGAGTGGTGAGCTTCTTAAATTATATTTTTGCAGGTTTTATTCAGGAATACTGTGCCTATCCCTCAACGTAGTTTCATCTTTCTGGGTAAATGACTTTCGTGCCAGTGATACCAGAGTCCTACAACCATGTTCTTGCAGAATTTGAGTCTCTGGATCCATTACTTTCAGCCCTGAGGCTGGACTCCGCTCGTCTAAAGGTGATTTTCGTGATCCTTATATCAGTTTTATTTTCACTTTCATATTTTTGTGTGCTCTCGGTTACGTGCCCCTCTGACCCCGTTCTTTATGTTTTATAGAATCTTGGGTGTTCTTACCTGTGCTAGTAATACCTCGCATAGAAGTAGTATGTTCATAGTGCTTTCTTGATTTATTTTTCAAGCAATCGTTTGAATTCTTCTTTCCCATCCTTGGAAACTATGATATAGATTACTGAATTTTCCCGCCTCTAATCTTGCTGTCTTCTCTCAGAAAGTAATGTATTCAATTGAAAACAAAATAGTATAAATGAGTATACCCCATTGCATTTTGAGCAACACGAACCATTGCTATTAAACTAAGTTCGTTCCAAAACAAGGAGTTTGATGTACCCCCTCTGTTTTAGGGAACAGAGCTAAAAATTAGCTTTACAAAGTTAGCTAAAAATTAGCTCTGTGGGAAGGAGTATGTGCTTCCCTCGAACCTTGAATTCATTTGATAAACTCAGGAATGACATGGTAAAGAACAGTTTCATAACCAATTCCAAAATAATTTCATTCTTATCCTTTTGTTCCCACCCCAAAGCAACTTTCTAGCCTCTGAGCAAAGGGAGAATAGGAAGTAATAGGCAAAGTAATATGGACAACAATTATGAGGGTTGATATCAGACGTTTTTTAGCTGCAAGTTACAGAAAACCTTCTCAATAATATCTTAAGCAGTAAAGGTGTTTATAACCTGGTTGGAGGTTATCGTTTCTGGGTTTAGTATAGTGGCCTTTGAGATTCCTTAGGACCCAGGCTCTCCATCTTTCCTGTTCTACCATCATCTGTATATTGACTGTTGGTCACAGTTGCAAGATAAGTGTCCTGGCTCCAGTCTTAATGTCTCCATTAGCATCTCAAGCAAGAAAGAGGTGGCCGAGGACAAAGGCTTTTTTCTCTTCAGCTCCGGCCATTTATCTGGGAGGGCAAAGCTTTCCGGGAAGCCCCAGTAGGGCTTAGTCTTACTAGCTGGATTTGAGTCACAGGGCTCCCCCTAGCTGCAAAAGAAACTGGGTAAGTGAAGATTTAGGTTTTCCAGCTTCTACGGTAGAAAGCAACAAGTTCGAAGAGGATTGGGAATTCCTGTTCGTTCAGCAACCAATAATATTTGTCACAGGGTATTGGGCACAGCCTGGCCACTGCTTTCTCTGGTGGGTAAGGAGAAGAGTCAGTAGGCTGAAGGCGTGGGGAGACGTAATAGTACACTGACTTGCATTTGTGTCCTCTGCAGTCTCACTTGCTCTCAAAGCTGTGGACATTTTGTGCTGATTATACAGACGAGAAGTGATTTATGTGAGCAGGTGATTAAAGTGGTTGCTTTATCCCCTAGAGACTTACTTGATCTCCCATCACTGTGGTCAGTATTGGAATGACCTAGCTGAATTGCACAGGAGATGAATCGGCTAGTAACTGGCTTTTGCCAAGGGAAAATTACTCATTTATACAATTGAGCCTATTCAGCAATTTTGAGATTCAATTAAAAATTTAAAACCAAAATGTTCTTTCTTCTGTATCTTTCACTATCTAGAATAAGAGCTTGAGTGCCATTATGTGGTGTCTAACTGGGCGGGTGGGTTGGGTGCGGGGAGGAACCTGACACAGATCCTCAGTATTTATTTCCAGTACATAGTTTATTTGTTAAATGACTGTGACAGTTTCACACTTGTCTGTTGCCATGTTTTTTAGTGCACGAGCATAGCTGTGTCTCGAAAATGGTTGGCTTTGGGCAGTTCAGGAGGAGGACTCAATCTCATTCAGAAAGAAGGATGGAAGCACAGGCTTTTTCTTTCGCACAGGGTAAGATTAAGGGTAGCCCTGTCATGTACCATCTGGAGTATCTTTCATAAATTTGAATTTCTCCATTATCAATGATCATTTGGACTAAAAGAAGAAGGTAAAACTTGAGATTTAAAAGTAAAAAATGACCCATTTTTGAGGAGCTGCCTAATATTTTTCCTTTTGTGCTCTAGGAAGGTACGATTTCTCAGGTCGCCTGTTGTTTGCATGATGATGATTATGTTGCCGTGGCTACCAGGTAAGAAACTGTTCTAAAACTGTCTGATCTTTTCCAAATGCATTTGAAGTTGACAGATGTAGTTGTGTGTTTGTTAGGGTGACCAGCCATCCCAGTGTGCCTGGGCCTGACCCTGTTTTAGCCTGAAAGTCCCGTGTCTTAGGAAACCTCTTAGACGCAAGCAAACCAGGATGGACAGTTGGTCACCCTAGGGTCTGTGGAAAACACTAATATGAGGCAACAACATTTCTGTGACCTTAAAAGAGAAAGGCAACAGGGATAATTTAGAACATCTAAGTTCTCCTATTACATTGGATTGGTGGACTAAAGCAAGGAAATTAATACCTTGGCTTTCTACTTCCTCTTTTCTGAAGGATAAGAATTTGCTTATATATTTAACATAGTTGATATTGTGGTGCATTGAAATTGTACCTTTTTCACCATTGCCAAAAATTTGCTTTTGTGTCTCAATACTTGCAGTCAAGGTCTTGTAGTTGTTTGGGAATTAAATCAAGAGCGTCGTGGGAAACCAGAACGAATTTATGTGTCTTCAGAACACAAAGGCCGAAAAGTTACAGCTCTCTGTTGGGATACAGCTATTCTTAGAGTTTTTATAGGTGATCATATGGGGAAAGTTTCTGCCATCAAACTCAACACTTCTAAACAAGCAAAGGTGAGAACCAGTCCAGTTCTTTGTGTATGTAGGTGAGATATAAGGTGTTGTCTCACAGAATTTCAATTAAAGGACACAATTTGACCTACTGTGTCTCTTGGGGACTGATCTAGAGCTCAGACTATGAATTTTGAGAAGACTTGTTTGCATGTAGTACATATGGTACCCTGGTTTAGCTTGACACTGTTACAGAATGGCTTCTGTGAGCTAACTTCAGTAATTTGCAGTTGTCTATTATATTACTCCATAATTCACCTTCATGGCTCATTTAAGTAAAGCATTCTTTAATACTAGGCTGTTAAAAAAGAAAAGATGGCTGGACTTTGCGGGCGATTCAGTGGTTAAGACTGCGTGATCCCAATGCAGGGATCACAGGTTCGATCCCTGGTCGGGGAACTAAGATCCCGCATGCCACTTGGCGCAGCCAAAAAAAAAAAGAAGGAAAGAAAGAAAAAAGAAAAGATGCCTGTTTATTAGTTGTGTGAATAAAATGGCAAACATAGAAATGGTACCAATTGTCCAGGGTCCTATTCTCCTGGTCCCTGGTTAGAAGAAACTCATGGGTCTAGGTATATTTTCACAGGATGGATGTAACTTGTTGTGAATGGAATCTTAAAGACATCTCCTGGATTACGCTAAGCAGTGTGGGTCCCCAGGCTTCCTGCCACAGTTGTTGGAGTAGAAAAGTTGAGTCTCAAGTTATCCTAACAGAATGCTCCAGTCTGTCATTAAGGCAGAGCCAGCCTGCTCCTCGCTGTCCCTCTCCTCCAAAGCTATGATATCAGAAATGGGGGACTTGTCTCTCATTGGCTTATTTGCATGTAGGATCCTGGTAGAGAAGAATAACTATTGGCTAAGTTATTTTAATTAACACATCAGAATATTCTTGATGTATTAATTAAATATTCATGATGACCCATCAAGGTTACTACTTGATTCCTAACATATTTTTGATATACAATTGGAATTCTACACTTATTGCAGCTCTAATTTGTCTCTTTTCCAAAGGGAGAAGTACTGTCTACAGGTGAAAAATTGTCTCACGTATTCTAAAACTTGCTTCATCTTTTTCTTCCCAACTTCTAAGAATAGATAATCACAAACAGAGCCTTAAGAATTCTCTTCTGCAGTCATGCAGCAAATTGTTTCACAAAACTTAAATGAGCGAAACTTGATATTCTAACAGGCAAATTAATTTTGGCCCATTTAAAGTTTTTATTTTGCTGTCTAAGCTGTTTTCATGTAAAAGCACATAATCCCCTTCTCTCTAAAGAGAAGGGGATTATGTGTATACGTAAAGATAAATAAACTTTATTTCCTTGTCACATCCCCTTTAGGCGGCTGCTGCCTTTGTGATGTTTCCTGTTCACACAATAACAACAGTTGACTCCTGTGTTGTCCAGTTAGATTATTTGGATGGAAGATTACTTATATCTTCACTTACTCGATGCTTCTTATGTGATACTGAGAGGTATATTGACTAACCATGAGTCATTGGAAATACAGAATTTTAGTCCCGGAAAGAAGTCATCTCGCCCAAACCCCTCAATTCAGTTATACAGATATTAATAAGGAACCACCTGTGTGCAAGCTGATGTTAGTGAGTAGAGAGGAGGTAGAGGAGAGTGACATAGTCCAGTGGGTGACTAAGACAAATATTCAGTTAACTCTACCAAGAAGCCTGGTCTAAGTGTCACGAGGGAAGACCGAACAGAGGCCTGTTTCTATATGGGGAATTGGGAAGTCTTCCTTGATTGAGTTTGTTGTTGTTGAAATTTGTTGTGTATTTAGTAGAATTTTACTATAGGGTAAAATTGGATGAAAAATAAGAACTTTATGAAGCTGACAGATATTTAATGAAATCTCAACAGTGGAACCAAAGGTCCAATGAATGGCAAAGGAGTATATTGGCGGTAGCTGTGAAATACCAGAACAGAATAGGAAATGGTTTGAAATGAATGTTGTGTATTGCTGTGTTTAAGTTCTTCAGCCATTCTCACCACAGGGAAATATTCACTGGGCGTTTTTTTTCCCCCTCCATTGGCCCTGTCCAGCTACCATATTCCTCAGGACCCAGCCCTTCTGTTAAAAATTTATTGTGGAGAATTTTGAGCACACACAAAAGAAGAGAGAATTGCATATAAACCACTGTGAGCCCACTAGCCAGCTTCAGTAATTTGTTGAGGATATTTAATAGGCGAAGTTTGAAGGAAGAGAGGTAAGAGGGGATAGGATATTCTAGCAGGAAGGAACAGCGTCTTGGGGAAAAGTAAGAAAGAATTAGGCATATTCTAAAACGTGTCCTCTGGCTTGAGTAGGGGAGTCGTGGGAGATCACGTTGGTAAATTAGCACCACATGGAGAGTGATAGTCTTAAATGTCACACTAATTAAGTATGTGGGTTCTCAGATCATTTTAAGAAAGTGTACATGTAGAAAATCAGGGTTTGGAAATTGATTCCCTTAGAACTATCAAGGATTGGAAACTTTTTATGTTTTTCCAGGGGTTCTTGTATCTCAGAAGACTGCTATTCTAGAAAGTAGGAGACTGGACTCCAAAAGTTTTGAAGGAATGTATGTTGACTGTCAGGGTTAGTAGAGGGAAGGATGAGGAGAGGATGCACTTTTTAAAAATTTTCTTGGGATGAGAAAGGTATGTGGGAAGGAGACCAGTAATAGTAGGTTGCAGATGTCTGGTATCAGAGAACCTAGCTGTACAGCAGAGGGGCAAGGCTTTGAGATGCGAAGGATCAGTTTACATGGAATTAGTAGGAAGGATGGTGTACTTGGTTCTGACTTATTTCAGACTGTAGATGGGTGATGAAGTTAGACTTACGGAACTGGAGATCATGTAGTGTCACTCTTTCATTTTTGCAGATCAGAAAGCCTAGTGAGTGATAGAGCTTGCCTCACATCATGCAGCTGGGAGGAGGCAGACTAGAATCTTTCTGTCTTGATTTTGTGCCTTTCCTGTTACCTCTAGTATATTCTTTGACATTGGACCTTTGGCCATTAAATCCATCCTTGAGATTTTGGTAAAATATTTGTTAGCTTCACAAATTTCTCAAATATTCTTCATCTATAGGTTTTCGAGTTTACCAAACAGCCCAATTCAGAAATTTGGCTGAAATTCTGACAAATGGTCAGAACACTGCATTGAATGAACACCTTATTGGGGTTGTTTTGAGAATCTAGTCAAATGGTATAAAGAGCTAAATAAGTGGAGGCTTATTTTTCCCTGTGTGCAGTACAGTTGCTAATCATTTATACTCCCATTTTACAGGATTGTGGCTAGAGTTGGTTATGAGAATAACTAACTGCAAAAATAACATGTTTTAGAAATGCCTACTTTGTTAGCTAGAATTCAGTTTGGGGGTACATGGATAGTACAGTAATTGAAAATTTTTATGTATGTTTTAAGTTTTGTTTCAAGGTATATTCCCTTTCAAACAAGCATTTTTCTTTTTTAAACAAAGGCTCCTAATAACTAACGGAAGTGAGGTACGAGTTTGCTTTTCATGCTACTTTCTGTCAGTATTGTTAATGAACAGGGTGGATCCCAGGAGGAAGTAGAACAAACAGAAACAAAGAATTATGTTGTAGTAGAGAGAACATTGGATAAGGGAGCCTGACAATATGGTTTCAAGTTCTAGTTCTGCCACTTCTTAAACCTTGCCAAATGTCAGTTTCCCCATCCAGAATGTAGAGGTAGTTTTAAGGATTAACTAAGATAATGTATAGGAAATACCTAGCCTTGTGCCTGTCACATGTCATTTGAAAATGTGGAAAGCAAGATTAATGAGCATGCAAATGAGAATGAGTTGACTGTATTGGTTTACTCAGGAAATATTTATTGCACTCCTCTGAATTAGTAGCACTGTTGTTAAGCACCATAGAGGATGTGAAATAAGCAAGAAATATATTTTATTTCCCAAATAAGGAACATAGGTAATAAAACCGTAACTTCTTGTATTGCTCTGTATACATTTTAAAGCACTTTCACATCCATATTCTTCTAGTAAAGCTGATGTTATATTTTATTCATAAAGCAAATAAGTACAGGGATATTTATTGAATTATCTAAGGTCACGTAGGAAGTTCATGCTAGAGACCATATCAGGCCATTGTCCAAATAAAGAGTTTGAGTATATGGAGCACAAAAGGCACTGAGTGCTTTCCGTGGGCCAGCTACTGTGCTGTGCACTGGGAGTTCAGCTAAAGAGGAAAAAGAAATGACGTTTGTCCTGAAGAAAGTCATAATCTACTGTTCAAATAGACACAACTACCATATGTAACGTGGTGAATGCTTTAAAAACATAGCATGGGAAGCATATCCTTCTGCTTAAAGGAGTCAGGGAAGTCTGTCAGAGGAGGAATGGTGGAGTTAATTTATGAAGAATAAGTAAAGGAGTGTTTGGAAAGAGATATCCTCATTCTCACCTTCCGTGTTCTCAGGCAGTTTTGTATATGCAGTTCTTTTATATATCTAGCTCAGGTAACCCTCAGGGAACAGAATGTTCCAAGGTACAGCCTTTCAGAAGGACTTAGCATTTTGAGGAAAGAGTGAGGCATTTATTGGGTATATGTGGCCGAGGCGTGGCCTGGAGACAGGGCAGATCAGTAGCCTCCATGGAGTGGCCAAAGAACAAGGTGATTTGGAAAGCAGTCAGTGGGATTTAAGGATGTAGGAAATGGTTTGGTAGCACTTACTTTTTAGTTTTGAAAAGAGAGTTCACATTCTGTGGATAATAAACTGAGTACTAACTTGAAGTCATTTGCTTTCTGTAACAGAAATAGTTAATGGCAAATCAGAGCTAGAACCCTATTTTGACCTTTCCATTCTGTTGTTCTTTCCAGTAAATTGCTAATATGAGGAGAGAGGGGACATTGTGGGTGGGGTTATTATGGCCATGCCGATATGTAGTGCATTGCTTTTGACTTTTTTGTGAGTAAACATGCTTTCTCTTTTCTGCGGGGGTCGGGTATTAGAGAAAAATTTTGGAAAATTGGAAACAAGGAAAGAGATGGAGAATACGGAGCTTGTTTCTTCCCTGGAAGATGTTCTGCCAGCCAGCAGCCCCTAATATACTGTGCTCGCCCTGGCTCCAGGATGTGGGAAGTGAACTTTGATGGAGAAGTTATAAGTACACATCAGTTTAAGAAACTCCTCTCATCACCACCTCTTCCTGTGATTAATCTAAGGTAATGATTTGTATGGCCAGTAGGGAGTATTTGAGGAACTTACAGGGAGGGTTTGGTTTGAAACCTCTGATATTCTGCATGAGTTAAAGATTTTATCGTGCCTTTTGAGAGTGAAGTAGAATTTTTATTAAAAGATTCAGAGAAACCAAAAAGTCTTTAATCAATTATCTTTCATATGCTTAAAGCAAATTCAATAAGGGTAAATGCAGTTAGGCTCTTGAATTTGTTTTGGAGGCAGAAATTTTCCTATATAGGGAAAAAGATACTTTTATATTTTGATTGAATCATTAATCATGTTTACTTCCTAGATCAGAACCTCAGTATGATCATACGGTTGGATCCTCCCAGTCTTTGTCTTTCCCCAAACTCTTACATCTTAGGTAAGTTTCTCCCTTCGATCCTTTAAAAAAAAAATGAACACTTAACTTTTCCTCTTTGTTTCTTGTTCAAGGTAGTTAACTTTTCAAGTTTGTTTTTGTACTGAATCATTTTTAGAAAATTAGGAAATGACTGTGTTGTGTGAAGTGTTCTACATGTAAGAGGAATGAAAAAAAGCATAGAAATATGCTTCCCTTTCTGTTTTGAACTGGCCTAAACCAGTTGGACACTTCACAGTTGTCGAGAACTTTTGACAAATTAGAGCTCAGAGCTGTAGATACACATTCTTTCATAACCTCCTCTCCCTAGTGGAATATTCCAGTGAAAGCAAGTCTCAGACTGAAGTCTGCTGCATATGTATGTTTCCTGGTAGGCAGGCACAAAAGTAGTTGTAGAACTTGTTCTTGTAAGCTTGGTGAAATTTCAGCTCTCTATTCTTCAGGTACTTTGCATGAAAGATCTGCTCAGGGTGGATGCAGCCAGCCATATGCTAACGTCTGAGTTCAGCTAGCCTTCTAGTTGGATTAGGTCCCAAAAAGTCCACTATTAAGTGGCAGCACAGAGTGCCACTTAAAACCATCAGCTGCTGGGCTTGCCAGTTCTTACAGCTTGTTCTACAAGCATGGGCATGCCAGTGTATGATTTCCAGTCAATCTGTGTGTCTTGAACTCTTCTTATTTCCACAGCAGAATATTATTTCTAATATCTCTTAGGCTAATTAATAAGATCCCTAATGCAGATTCAGAGAATGTTATTTAGAGCTGGTATAGGGTACTCTGGAGCTTGGCTCCTGATCGAGTTCTTTCAAAGGCTAACTCACCGTGCTTTGAATGTAATTTTAAAAAACACTTGAAATGTTAACTAACTGCCCCTAAATAACGTATGTGTATGTCACACTACCTATCATGAAATATTTGAAAATAAATTGTAAACAGTATAACTCTTTTGCAAGTCCATAATTCATCCTAAAAGTTACTGGAGAAAGACCACTATTTATTTGCCCATAGTTAGATAAAGCATAGTAAAAACTCTTTCTTTACGGCACTTATCACAGTTTATAATTACATATTCAAACAGTATTTATGCCTCTCTTACTCCTAGACAGTAAGGCCCTTGAGGGCATCATGTCTGTTTTGTTCCCTGTGTTATTCTCAGTGTTTGGCATAATGCCTGGCATATCGTAGACACTTAACATTCGTTGGCTATGGTGTGATATGTGGGGTGTGGGCAAGTCCCCTACCCAGGAGTATGTTTTCTAATGGCAAGGCCAGTCTGCTTGGTTCTCCTGTTTTTCCTTTGAGTTAAACTATTTAAAGCTCCCATACAAGTTCCTGCCATAGCATTCAAAGCCCTGCATGATCTGGCTCTGCCTACTCCTCAGCTTAAGCAATAATTAATGCCACTTTGAAGCTTTTACTGACTCCTCCAGTGACTCACATTAGACACTTATTCCCTTGCACTGTTGTCACATCTTGTTCATTTCTCTGTCACCACCCTGTTTCACTGTACTATGAATATCCATCCCAGTACCAGATTGTCAACTCCTTTGCTATGGGCACAGTGCTAGGCACACAGAAGGTTCTCAAATAATGGCTAAATTAAAGAGTTTCACAAAGATTTTTTTGAAAAAACATTAGTTACAGGGCTTTTCTTTACTTTTTTTCCCATGTGTACACTTGTGTTTTGGTAAGCTTCACTGTTACACCCACAAATTCTACGGGGAAGCAAATTTGTATGCCTCATTTTCTTTGGGGTACACTGGTGTCACTTTCTCTTCCTTAACTTTTTAAACAATGTTGTTAGGCTTGTGTCCCTGTCTGTTTATTATCAGTGAAGGGGAAGGGGATGAGGGGTGTGTAAATTACCAAGTCTCAGCTCTGATATTAGTCCCCCCCACCCCCCACCTATTCTTAAGGAATCTTTCCAAGCTGCATGTCAAGTTCAGTGTCAAAATCCTGATCCTGTGTCTCTTTATTCAGGGATCTTCTGGCCTCTGGGTTTTTTTTTCCCCTCTGGCTCCTATAAAGGCAGCCTTCCAATTTTACTTATTTTGGACTAGGATTCTGACCATCTCTTCCTTCTTTGTGACAAAGATTACTTTCCCATAGGGACCGTGATCTGATCTTATATTGGCAAAATGTTTAACATTTGTGTGAGGACCGAATTCCTGTTAAATATCGCCCTTAGTCTCATCGCCACATGTTACCTTTTTTAGTACTCTTGGAGGCATAAACTTAAAAAAAAAGTCCCTGTTCTCAAGATTATAGTGCGTTGGAGAGATGTAGTTTATTTCTAGAAAATGTTTAACAACAATAAAAAGTAAGAGTTGTGACAGTGCAATACATGATTAAGTGCCGTTTGAGCGGGGTTGACGAGAAATAGGTTGCGTGCAGGAGGGAGAGCGGGCTGTGCGCTGTCGGGGAGGATTTCAAAGGGCAGTAGAACTGCTGCTGATGCTTAAGTGGTGACTAGAATGAGACTGTTATAATGGGGAATGCTCTGACTGGGGATTACCAGTGGTGTATAAAAAAATAATAGCAGCCTCGAGAGAGTAAATGAGATATATGAGCAAAGGAGTATAGAAGGAGATGAGCAGAGATGGAGAGTACCAGAGGACTGGAAAGGAAGGTGGACCAAGAAGCAGTGTCCAGAGTCTAGGAAGGCGAGATTCAGGAAGGAAGGAACAGTCTGCAGAGTTGACCTCTGCTTGGGGATCAAGAAGGAAAATGAGAAAGTAGGTTATTGGGTTTGGCATTTAGGAGATCTGTGACTTTCCAAGAATGTAGTTAAGTGGAATGATCAGGATTCCAGATAACAGTGGGTGGGTCAGTGAGGATAAATGAGGGTAGAAGTAGCTTCTGTGAGGTATGGAGAAAAAAGTCCAGGTTTTGGAGCCAGACAGTCCTTGGTATAAATTCTGACTCTTCCGCATTCATGCTGAATGGCCTTCAACATGTTATTTATCTCTCTGAGCTTCAGTTTTTCTTTTTTATGAAATAGGGATAACACTCCTATCTTGATGAGATGCTACAAGGTTAGATAATATTGGTATAGCCTTTAATGAAAAAAATAAACTCCCATAGTTGACTGGTAGTTTTCAACCTTTTATTGCCCACATACAACTAAGGACATCAAAATATTACCCTCCCTGGGACTTCACTGGTGGTGCAGTGATTAAGGGTCTGCCTGCCAACTCAGAGGACACGTTCGTTCGAGCCCTGGTCCAGGAAGATCCCACATGCCGCGGGGCAACTAAGCCTGTGCGCCACAACTACTGAGCTTGCGCTGTAGGGCCCGCGAGCCACAACTACTGAAGCCCGCGGGCCTAGAGCCCGTGCTCCTCAACAAGAGAAGCCACTGCAACGAGAAGCCCACACACCACAACGAAGAGTAGCCCCCGCTCACCGCAACTAGAGAAAGCCTGCGTGCAGCAACAAAGACCCAATGAAGCCCAAAACAAATAAATAAATAAACACATTTAAAAATATATATATATTATCCTCCCTAAAAGTGGCTCACTAGAGCAGTGATTGGTGGTTAGATGTGATGTTTAGTCTTTGTTTTAGATGTCATACCAGATATGGGAAGTTTAGATACTTTAATAAACGTCAGGTAAGATACCAGCCTTTTATTTTTCTAGAAGATATTTCGTGTATCTGAATTTTTCCCACTTTGGTGTCATATTATGCTATCTTTTACTGGCTTGTCGTTACAGACAGAAAAGAGGTGGTAGGATGTAATTGGCTGGATCAACTGTTGCTTTCTTTGTACAGGCTGATTTTGCTTTAATAGCTAGTGTGAGGGTCTGAAATCAGGGAATTATAAACTTCTGATTCCGAGCAAACTAGAATTCTCTTGACCTCTTCCATTTTCTCTTGCAGTGAGCACTGTGTGCTGACTTGGACAGAAAGAGGAATTTATATTTTCCTTCCTCAGAATGTTCAAGTTCTTCTTTGGAGTGAAGTCAAGGGTAATTGTGTTTTTCTTCCTATGTAATTTTTAATCGCATGCTTGTGAAAGAGTTAATTATTGTAGGAGGATTCTCTTGCAGTGTAAGAAGTAGAAAATAGAATGAGGTGACATTTCTTTTAAAGATTAACATCATAGGTGTATCCCATTATAAGGTACTTACGAAGTATACATTTGTGAATCTATGTATAGTTATTTAGTTATTTTAAATACAATTTTCATTTATTCTTAAATATTAGCAACCACTGCTAAGGATTGAATGGGTTAATTTTTCCCTCTACTTACCCTGAATATTTATCCCGGTAAGAAGTCTTGCTTTAACTCCTGTTTTGTGTCTTAATAATTTAGGGTTGAAAAGTCCTTGTGGGAACAATAGCCATTTTATGTGGCTGAGGCAGAGAAAGTCAATCTCTGTATTCTTCTGGTTTAAACCAGAAATGGAGGAAATAAATCTAGCATTTTTAACATGACTGCTCAGAGAGTGTATCCTGACTTTTGAGTCATTTTCTACTTTGTAAAAACATGAAAAAGATGAAGGAACCATTACATACTGATTTCTCGTGAATTAAGTTTCCTAAAGGTGTCCCGTGAAAACTAGTTTTTTAGGTCATTTCATGGTATTCTGCCAAGACAGGTGTTTTTTCATGAACAGTTTGTTGATTTACATACTGCACTGAAATCTGTTACTGGTATCAGATTTGTAACTCAGAAATGTGATAGTCTGGCCTCCGAAGTGTCCCCTTTTAAAGTCCCAATTTCTTTTCACAAAACATAGCATTTTTAAAAACAGGATTTTAGATCAGATGTTTCTTTCTCTGTATCTTTTATTCTTGATCTTTTTTAAAAGAATAGTGTCTAAGATATAATTTCTTCATTGAAATGCAAGTATAAAAATAGAGGTGAAATTCAATCAAGCCAAACCCTATATAGAAAATGAATCTATTAGAATAATTTCAGCCATCGCAAAAATGGAAAAGGAGTACTTGGTTAATGTCCTGTGTGTTCACCCCTGTGGTTTTTGTAGATATTCAGGATGTGGCTGTCTGTAAGAATGAGCTGTTCTGTTTGCACCTAAATGGGAAGGTCTCCCATCTTTCCCTGTTATCTGTGGAACGTTGTGTGGAACGCCTGCTAAGGAGAGGCCTGTGGAACCTGGCTGCTCAAACTTGCTGTCTTTTCCAGAATTCCGTCATTGCCAGCAGAGTGAGTCAGAAAGCTGACATGTTTATCTGGGTTGTTAAAACCATTCTAGCTTGCAGGATTGTGCTACACAGTTGCTTGTCTTTATTAGCCTGCTGATGAAGCAGCAGTAAATCCCCAAAGGAAACATGACAGATAAATCTGGAGTGGGGATGGGGGTGAGAAAAACTGTATACTTTCCATTAAAAAAAATCAACTTTACCCACAAATCTATTTGAACTTCAGGCCTTGTTTTTTTTTAGATGTTGGGGGTAGGAGTTTATTAATTAATTAATTAATTTTTGCTGTGTTGGGTCTTCATTTCTGTGCGAGGGCTTTCTCTAGTTGTGGCAAGCGGGGGCCACTCTTCATCGCGGTGCGCAGGCATCTCACTGTCGCGGCCTCTCTTGTTGTGGAGCACAGGCTCCAGACATGCAGGCTCAGTAGTTGTGGCTCACGGGCCTAGTTGCTCCGCGGCATGTGGGATCCTCCCAGACGAGGGCTCGAACCTGTGTCCCCTGCATTAGCAGGCAGATTCTCAACCACTGCACCACCAGGGAAGCCCAAGGCCTTTTTTTAAGTTTTAAGTGAAATTATTATATGTACAGTAACTCTAAATTCTTAGTTCCTAAGAGAATTCTTATTAAGTCTTTTCCTAGCTTTTAAAGCCCTTTTAAAGCACCTTTGAGGTTTTATGTTCTATGTTAGACCTCTTTCAATGTATTGGCCATTTGAATATAGATTTAGTTACAAACAGAAAACTCTCCTATTGGTTCTACTTATCCTTTTATTAGGGAAGAAAAACTTTGACTATAGATAAATTGGAACATTTGAAATCTCAGCTGGACTTAACAACCTATGGTGATCTGATTTCCCAACTGGAAGAATTGATCTTAAAATTTGAACCTTTGGATTCAGCTTGTAGCAGTAGAAGAAGCTCCATTTCATCACATGTAGGTATTCTCACTTTTAAAAGGGTTTTGCTGTACAGTAAGATTGTTCTACATTAGTTTGTACTCATTTACCTCTAGGATTCCAAAAGTTACCTTCCTTTCCATGTTGTATATTGTTTGGGGGTGGTGGTGAGGAGGGGGCTTTCTTTTAGGTGTTGGACAACGTTATGAAGCCTTCATTTAGGTGTGTCTTAGAGCCGCATTTTGTTTTGTCGTTGTTTATTATGTTCTGTTTGAAAATATACCTCATATAGCCTCCAGAGCAAGTTAAGTTACCCCTAATATGTGATTTCAGATGCTTCATGCCAACTTGAGTCTCAGTGCAGCTCAGGATTGTCTTATTTAATCCTCATTCTCACATTCTCACATTCTCACAGCCAGACTTCATGGAGACCCACTAGAGAAATATGGTAGCATGATGCCATGAGCAGGTGAGAGGGACCTGGCTGCCAGGAGCCTAGACCTTGCTCACCATTTTGTTCTAATAAGCCATAATTGTCGTTAATGACTTGTTTCTTTTAGTGTTGATTTTTCTCTTAAAAAGCTATATCGTGTTATAAAAGTTTAACTTTTCTTTAATTCTTTTTCTTTTTAGGAAAGTTTCAGCATCTTGGACTCTGGTATTTATCGTATCATTAATAGTAGAAGAGGCAGTCAGTCAGATGAAGACTCTTGTTCCCTTCACAGCCAAACCCTCTCAGAAGATGAGAGACTTAAAGAATTCACCTCACATCAGGAAGAGGACCAACCAGATCAGTGTTGTGGTTCACACGGAAATGAAGGTGAAGAATGTGTCTTTTATTGGCTGCTGATGTGAAGCAGTTATTTTCTGTGGCTTCTGTTTGCCAAGATTATCTCATGCATAGAGTTTTCTACAAGGTGTTAATAATTTTTATTAAGTTGTTAGACTTTCCATCCAGACCTATTGATCAGTTCACCATTAGAAGAATGGATTTATGTTTAGTTGGGGTTTTTTTCCCCTCCTGTTTAGGCTAATATTGGTAAATTACCTAATTATTATCATGCATCAAAGTGCTGGAAAGGTTAAGAAAGGAGGTCATTAACCAAAAGAGTGGAACGATTTTATCCTAACCAAATTATTTTCCATTCGGAATGAAAAATTACTACAGTTCTGGGGGTCATTGCCTTCACTTTTTGATGTTCAAGTACTCCTGTGACCGAACTGTTGAGATTAATAGAGACTCTGAGCTTCCTTTCTGACTTGTGGGGATTCAGGCTTAGTAGGAAAAATGAAGGTACCTGTCCAAGTGTTTTATATGTGGACCATCCCATGCATCTTGTAAACCTGTGTTCCACTCATTTGTATTTGGGTCAGTTGTGATTTTGGTATTGAATCCTTCATTTCCTTTGCTTTATTCATTTCAGAATTTCTTTAAAGATTAAAAAACTCTTCATGTGATTAGATTTTGTTTTTTCTCCCCAATTCCATTCATCAGACAATGTTTCACACGCTTCAGTGATGTTTGAGACAGATAAGAATGAAACTTTTCTCCCCTTCAGCATTCCACTGTCATTTCGTTCTCCATCTCCTCTTGTGTCTCTTCAGGCTGTCAAGGAAAGGTAAACTCATTAGTCTTGTCATTTAATCCCACTTCTGGTTTTACTTCAGTTGTCATGTTAGGCACTTTTGCGCTGAGAATGGAAAGACATTTTAAATGAGGAAAAAGAAAGTCTCTAGATTATTCCTCATATAGCCTGTTATACGAAGCCGTTTACTTCTCATTTCAATCTTGGGGAATTTATCTTCCCTCTTTGTTTGAGTACCTGGATATTTGAGTTGTTACAAATGTGTTTTTTTTCCCCCTCAGGCTGAGCAAAAGTTAAAAAATGTTTTTTCCTCATCCCTGATAGGAACAATTTCCATGTATCATTAGTCATTTCTTAACTTAATCATTTCTCAGTTTGGGCTCAGAATTGAAGACTCTTCAGAAGTCTTTCTAGCTACTCCATGGGCCCAGAATTGACTTACATGAATTTATGTCCAAGGTTTTCCACTTAAACGTTTTACCATAATAGGATAAAGTCTTCATAATTATAACTTAATAATTATACAATGTGTCACTGAGTCCCTGTATTATGAATATACTAATGATTTCTGTAAAAAAAAAAAAAAGACATTTAAGTTTGAAAGAGAAGACTTCTGTAGCTCCTTCACGCTAATGGGAGTTTTACTGGATACAAATTTTGCTTTTTCAGAGGATACATTGTGACAAATCAGCAGCTGAGTTTCCTGAAGAAATTCTTTGGCTAGGATGGGGCAGGTTTTCACAGGGCCTTCTTTGCCTAAGTAAACAGAAACATTGCAGGCACAGCTGCAATTAAAGACCTTTTCTTTAGGATTGAATCAGAGTAGTTTAGTAAATGAAGTAAATCCTTATTATAAATTTTACATGGGCCTTATGTGAAATATGTAATTGATTAAGGAAGTTGCTATAAAGAGTCTTTCTTTATAGCAAGTAAAGAAAGACTTGCTAAGTCCAAGCTGCCTTCAGGGACTGACAGGAACATAGAGAACTCAGATACTGAAATTTTCATTCTTGGCAGTAATGAGATTCTTTTCATATTAGTTTATTGGTATTTGACTTCCAGCGTTTCTAGCTTTGTGCGTAAAACTACTGAGAAGATTGGCACCCTTCATACGAGCCCTGATCTGAAAGTGAGACCAGAACCCAGGTGTGATGAGCAGTCATGTGAAGAGGTTGTGGGTCCAGTCACTTGTCCGAAGGAGGAAGACACTGAGTAAGCCATTGCAGAGAAATCTGTGTAAATTCTAGAGGATACAATTGTCGGTTTGAAGAGAGCCATAAACCATGTCATCTTGAAGAAGACACATGTATGACTCTGTTCATTGTAGATTATTTGCATAGCTTATAAAAACTGAATACCACAGAGTAAGTGTTGGAAAATTACATCAACCCATAAAAAGTCTGTTGAGACAGAATTTTAATTTAGCACCTCTTCTTCCATCTTTCCCCTGAACAACTTCTCTCCCCTCCAAATCTCTTCAAACTTCTGCAATGTTAGAGAAAGAGTATTAGAGTAAGAGTAGGATGACCAAGGATATAGGCCTTGTTCTGGTTCTGCTTCTGACTAGCATGTGACGTTGGTGACGCCCTCTGGCCTGTAAGATGAGAGCATTGGCATTAATGTCGTCACGTGCCTTCCTATGATACGCTGGTGGCATAGTCCTTATGGAGTGGGGTTGTAGCAGAGCCCTTGGTCTGGCACAGTGTGAAGTATCTTGTCCATCTGGTCTCTGCCTTTTCTCATAATTCAGGGGATCTGGGCATTGGAGGCAGGCAAGCTCAGCACTCACCCAGGAATTGAGATAGACCCACAGGGCCAGTGTATACTGACTGGACATTCAGATGAGAAAAAAGGTGTGTTACCCTTAGAGTAACTTAGCTATGAATCCGTATGTATATCGGGGAAAAAAGTGTAGATAGTGCAGTGGCATTTAAGGCAGCCCTCAGTCTGACGTTAGCCCACCTTTCCAGCTTCATTTCCAACCACGTCTTTCTAAGCACTCTAAATTCTAGTCCTGTCAGAGAAGTGGGTGTGTACACCTCACTACTTTTCTTCATGCTGTTTCTCCCACCTGCAGTATTTTCCCCCCATTTTTCCTAACGCAAATACACCTCCTCAGGAAAGCTTCTCGTGGTTGCCTAGTCAGAATAATTATTCCTTTTTCTGTGCTTTCAGATCACAGTGCTTGTGCTGCTCTTTAGCATTCATTCTATTCTTCTTATATTACAGTTGTTTTCTTGCCTTTCTTTCTGACTAGGGCTTACTCTGACTTGAACTTACTCATTTTGAAGCCATGGACCATTTTTTATACTCATCTGTTTGTTTCATGTATCATTAAGTACAATACCTACCACTTAGTGAGCACTTAGAAATATTTGCCCAAGAAGGCTCTAATCCCCTTTAACTCTTCTCACACTTCTCTAGGGGAAAAGAAGAAGTAACTAGTCAACCTCCAGAAGAGGACAAGTTTCAAGAGCTCAGAATGGCAACAGCAGAAGCAATGTGAGTATTTATGGGTGAGAAAGTTTTATAGAGAGTGGGAATGACTTTTTGAGATCATTAGTAGTGGTCCTGAGACAGTGTGGGGCAGAGGCAGTTTCATTTGGAATTGAAATTCATGAATTAATACAAAGGTAATGTTCTCTGTGTTGTTGTCTTGCTACTGAGATAATTGTTATTTAAAGAGTTGAAAAGTAACATTTATTCTGGATAACTAATGTTGTATCTGTTAGGCTTATTTAGCATGAAACAATTTGTTTTTGAAAAACCACATAAAACATAAATTTCATACTTGTCTGTCTTATATAGGACCAAGCTACAGGACCCACTGGTATTGTTTGAACCACAGTCTCTGAAAATGGTTTTACAGGAGTGGCTTTCACAGTTAGAAAAAACATTTGCCATGAAGGACTTTTCAGGCATTTCAGATACTGGCAACTCGTCCATGGAATCAAACCAGGGTATGCTATTGCTTGATGAGTCAAAAAAGGGAATATTAGACGAAGAAGATGAAAAAGAAAAAAGGGACTCTTTAGGCAATGAAGAAACTGTTGATCAAGCAGCGTGTGACTCTGTAAATAGTCTGAGGGAGTCCCTGGATGATGACATTTTTCAAGTATGTTCTCCATGCAGTATACCAGGCAGTCTTCAGAAGGACCTGGCTGAAGTGACAACATTGTGTTTGGAACTGAATGTATTGAATTCTGAGATCAAAAGTGCAAGTAGACATGTAGACCACACTTTGCAACAGTGCTCTCCTGAAATTCTGGCTTGTCGGTTCCTAAAGAAGTACTTTTTTCTTCTGGACTTGAAAAGAGCAAAGGAGAGCATCAAGCTGAGTTATACTAACAGTCCTTGTGTTTGGGATACTTTTATTGAAGGATTGAAAGGTAATAATCAGATTGCCTTACCAATAGAGGACAGTAGCATCTTGGCATTTTTTAGTTTAAAGAAGAAGATTTAAGTAGAAAATCACCTTTGTTCTGGTCAGCCATCCCTTCAGTTTTCCACTCAATTTAGTCTTTTGTTGCTTTTTTTTTTCTGTTGAGATTGCTCACTTTTTTTTTTAAATTGAAGTATAGTTGATTTACAACTCAATTTAATTTGTAATAGTTCTTGCAACTATTATAAGAAGTTAGTTTTATTTCTCTCACAGTCATTCAGAAAATGATACAGCAGTGTTGGAGAAGTTGGGTTAAGTAAAATTTTATAAATGCAGATATATGAAAACCAGAAAATCCCTCTTGTAACTTACTAATATAGAGATAATATATACCATTTATTGAGTACTCACCAAGTGCCAGATAATATGCTAAACACTTTGCCAGCATTCTTTCATTTCATCCTTACAACACTTTGGAGTAGATGGTGTTATTCTGTTTAATAAGTAAGGAAACTGAGGCACAGAGAGATTATAATAGTTGAGTAGGCTAAACTTCTGTAGTATCTCACAATAACTCAGATACAATATAATAACTCAGATATGGTAGTTTATTTCTTGCTCATATATCAGCCCAGGGCAGATGTTCCAGGTCAGTGGGCAGCTCTCTTGCATGTGGTAACTCAGGGTTCCAAGTTCCTTCCATTGTTTTGGTCTCTATCCTCCCTTAGGGCTGATGATTAAGGCTGGGTTGCTATGTCCAGGGGGAAGCATGTGGAAGAGGCAGACAGGCTCTTACAGGGAGGTGTGGCCTGGTAGTGGCTTACGTCTCTTCTGTTGGTGAGAATTCTATCTCATGGCCCCACCTAACTGGAAAGGAGTCTGGGAAATGACCTCTCCAGGTGTCTAGAAGGAAGAGGATGGACATGGGTCAGGAGCTTGCATGTCTGCCTCAGAGATTTTGGTGGGCAGTCAGCAGCCTCTACTTCACACTTGATTGAAGGTCACACTGTTGGTCATCCTCATGTAGATACCAGCTTTCATACCCTAGAGGCCATGCCTGCCCTTTCTACTACATAGTCCCATGTTTTTGAGCAGGTGGATTTTCTTAACTCAAAACTCTGAATAACAGATGTCATGTTTCTAATAATTGATGTAGACTTTAAGCAAACTTTTCATTCATTACCAAAAGTGAGTAGTCACAGGTAGAGATACATTTTTATATTATCTGACTTAAAGAGCGTTAAGGTTTCTAGAAACAAGGATCTATGGTTACAGTTCTGCCTCAATTCACATTTAGCAGTTAAAAGCATAAGAAATGATTTCAGCTTCTTTTTCTGAATTGAGGTAGACTGTCTTTTATGTTGAAGTAAGAAGAGTTATTTCTTTTCAAATAAGTTCAAATGTTTGATATTACACTGGAAATTTGCTATATCTGTCTCTATTATGTGATTGTACCCAACCTTGGTTACAGGAAAATAGCAAAAAAAAATAACCACTTCACCAACCTGAGTGGTTAACTTACTGCCAGAGCTGTGGCTGGAGCAAGCGTGGAGGGTGTTTGAGATGATGCAGCTGCTTCCAAATTGAATTTAAGGGGATAAGTTTGGCTTAGCGCCCACCCAATCATAAAGCTTTCCCTCACTTCATATGCTCTAAATGATGGCCTTCTCCTCTGAATCCCTTTAAATACTTACTGTCTGACCCAGTCAAATTGGAAATAATGAAACTGGGAAAAATTGATATATTTTTTTAAACAAATATATCAGAAATTGAAGGTTTGGCTCTTTAGAAATGGTCTATTGAACAGGTTCTACTCTTCTAATGATGTTGTAATCATGAAAACAGCTTTGGAACTGTTCTTTGGGATTTATCTTCAGAGCTAGTTGAAAACTTCTTGAAAAAACTCATTTTATTTTAGATTCATATATATGTAAACATATATTTTTTAACTACAAGTAGTTTTAACTAGATCTTCACTCACTTTATTTACACACTTGGCTTTAAATGACTTGGCTATTCCCCAAAGTCACATCTTCCTTTGGAGGAAGATTTGCTATAACTGATGTTTTTTAAAAATAAGTCAAATATTTTTAAGTTAATTTAATTAAATTTAATTAACTAATTTTGTTCCAAAAGATTGATTAGGGATATCAGTTCTAGAAAAAAACTGAAGAATTTGGCATTGATGGTAGAAATATAGCTTATATATATATTAGCTTGCATATATAATAGCATATATATGTAATACATATATTACATATATAAAGGGTACATTTTCAATGGTAATAGTCATGTATTGGTTATCTGTTCCTTTATCTTGTTTAAAACTTCCAATATGCTTTGCCTCCCAATTTGATTTTTTTTTTAAACATCTTTATTGGAGTATAATTGCTTTACAACGGTGTGTTAGTTTCTGCTTTATAACAAAGTGAATCAGCTATACATATGCATATGTTCCCATATCTCTTCCCTCTTGCGTCTCCCTCCCTCCCACCCTCCCTATCCCACCCCTCTAGGTGGTCACAAAGCACTGAGCTGATCTCCCTGTGCTATGTGGCTGCTTCCCACTAGCTATCTATTTTACGTTTGGTAGTGTATATATGTCCATGCCACTCTCTCACTTTGTCACAGCTTACCCTTCCCCCTCCCCATATCCTCAAGTCCATTCTCTAGTAGGTCTGTGTCTTTATTCCCGTCTTGCCCCTAGGTTCTTCATGACTTTTTAAATTTTTCCTTAGATTCCATATATATGTGTTAGCATACAGTATTTGTTTTTCTCTTTCTGATTTACTTCACTCTGTATGACAGACTCTAGGTCCATCCACCTTACTACAAATAACTCAATTTCATTTCTTTTTATGGCTGAGTAATTTTCCATTGTATATATGTGCCACATCTTCTTTATCCATTCATCCATCGATGGACACTTAGGTTGCTTCCATGTCCTGACTTTTGTAAATAGAGCTGCAATGAACATTTTGGTACATGACTCTTTTTGAATTATGGATTTCTCAGGGTATATGCCCAGTAGTGGGATTGCTGGGTCGTATGGTAGTTCTATTTTTCGTTTTTTAAGAAACCTCCATGCTGTTCTCCATAGTGGCTGTATCAATTTACATTCCCACCAACAGTGCAAGAGGGTTCCCTTTTCTCCACACCCTCTCCAGCATTTATTGTTTCTAGATTTTTTGATGATGGCCATTCTGACCGGTGTGAGATGATATCTCATTGTAGTTTTGATTTGCATTTCTCTAGTGATTAATGATGTTGAGCATTCTTTCATGTGTTTGTTGGCAATCTGTGTATCTTCTTTGGAGAAATGCCTATTTCGATCTTCTGCCCATTTTTAGATTGAGTTGTTTGTTTTTTTGATATTGAGCTGCATGAGCTGCTTGTAAATTTTGGAGATTAATCCTTTGTCAGTTGCTTCGTTGACAAATATTTTCTCCCATTCTGAGGGTTGTCTTTTGGTCTTGTTTACGGTTTCCTTTGCTGTGCAAAAGCTTTGAAGTTTCATTAGGTCCCATTTGTTTATTTTTGGTTTTATTTCCATTTCTCTAGGAGGTGGGTCAAAAAGGATCTTGCTATGATTTATGTCATAGAGTGTTCTGCCTATGTTTTCCTCTAAGAGTTTGATGGTGTCTGGCCTTACATTTAGGTCTTTAATCCATTTTGAGTTTATTTTTGCGTATGGTGTTAGGGAGTGTTCTAATTTCATACTTTTACATGTACCTGTCCAGTTTTCCCAGCACCACTTATTGAAGAGGCTGTCTTTTCTCCACTGTGTATTCTTGCCTCCTTTATCAAAGATGGGGTGACCATATGTGTGTGGGTTTATCTCTGGGCTTTCTATCCTGTTCCACTGATCTATATTTCTGTTTTTGTGCCAGTGCCATACTGTCTTGATTACCCGATTTGATTTTAAAGTCCTTAAAAGCAGAGGTTGTCTCTTGTTCTGTTTTTGTCTCTCCTATGATGCTTTACCAACGTTGGGACTTGCACACAGTAGGTGCATGCCTAATGATTGTTGATTAATGTGTTCATGAATAAAATATTTACCACTGTGAGATGAAGGGAAAGGGGTGTGCTTTGTCTTTTAGAAATGGCAAGTTCCAATCCTGCATATATAAAGATGGAAGAAGGAGACCTTCCAACAAGATTAAAGTTATTGGATGACTTGGTCTCTTTTGACAGTCCTTTGTTGATTGCTTGTGCTACCCGGTGAGTGGTCCTGTATGTTGTTCATGTGAACTAAAGCACAGACGTTTTCTTCGTCTCAGTCTGTAAAGTTTTACTCTGTTACATGTTGAGCAGCTTCTTGTTAGCATATTTATTTTCATTTCTAATAAATACGTAGATAATGTAACCAAGTTATATTATCTTACTGAAGTTGGAGACTAACATGTTTTGTTTTTAAATGCAGATTGTATGAGAAATTTGGAGAATCTGCCCTTCGATCCTTAATCAGGTTTTATCCATCCATTTTGCCTTCAGATGTCATGCAGCTTTGTCATCATCATCCTGCTCAGTTTTTGGCTTATTTAGACAGTCTGGTAAAATCAAGGCCTGAAGATCAACGGTGAGAAGGAGAGAATATTTGCGGACCCTCCTTTTTTTTTTTTTTTTTGGACTCTCTTTTGATAGGGCACTGTTTCTCTAGTATAAGCAGTTGGAACATTTTTACTATTAACTGCCACAGGATTGAGGCACCTGCTATGGAAGAGGAGGATTTTGGCAGTTATGTTCCATTCTTTCACAATTCACAGCACACACCACAAATGTGTGCATAACCCACACTTCTCTTTCCTCCCTCTCTCCCTCTCAGAGATTCTCAGATCAACAGTGTAAAATTAAACTCCGTTTCAAGGCCTATGCTAAGACAGATAAGCTTCCTTGTTGTCTCTGCCAGTGAGTGGATTTGCTGCCACCTTTTTGTTGTGATATATCCCAGCTTTTTGTGGGTGGATCTCAGTTACAGCTCTTAACTTCTTTGGGCTGAGGCCTCACTTCCTATCTCCACATGGCAGTGAACAGACATGTCCTTTGGTTATTGAGAATGGCAACTTCCCCCCACTGTTTCTTCTGATTGGTTCACATTTGCTATACTGGTATTTATTTCTCCTTTTTTTTTTTTTTCGGCCCTTTGGTATTTCCCTTATTATCTTGAAGCTCAGCTGTTCAGTTAAAAGGGTATTATATTTTCACCAGCATTTCTATACATTTTGTAGCAGAAGAGTTTTCAAGTTATTTCATCCACTGTCTTGATCCCTTAATAACATTTTCTTCATATCTGCACATTTTATCTTTCCTTTCTCAGCATGAATATTGGTGATTTTTTTCCCAACTTTCTCTTAGGCCATTCTTCCTTGAGTCCCTCCTACAACCAGAGTCTTTAAGACTGGATTGGCTGCTGTTGGCAGTGTCCCATGATGCTCCCCCAAGCACCAGCACTATGGACGATGAAGGAGACCCCAGGTATAGAAGGAGTCCTGTTTCTAAGCTCTGCTGCTCCTTTGGAATGGAACCAGTTTATTCACATATAGCATTCTGGGCTTACTTCAGGAATAGCTATGGAAGCGACTGACTCAAGTCATGGTAGTAATCAGATTGAGTGTACTGCTTAGTGGTTCTGAACATGTTTTGAATCACAGACCCTCTAAGAATCTGATGATTCCTCTCAGAAAAATGCACATTCATACAAAATTTTGCACATGATTGCAGAGAATTAAACTGGGCTACTGAAACTCTTTCATGGACCAACATTAAGAGACCTTGGTGATTAAACCTGTGTTAGAAGAAAATTGTTAGAAAATTGTGTGTATGTGTGTGTGTGTGTGTGTGTGTGTGTGTGTGAGTGTGTGTGTTTTCTTCCTAGAAATTTGCCAAGGGATTTTTAGATGTAACCTGATGTAGGATTTTTTTTTAACTTTGACTCTTTTTTTAAAGCTTTTCTAGTACATTTTTAAAAACTTTTATTTTTTGGCTGCATTGGGTCTTCGTTGCTGCACACAGGCTTTCTCTAGTTGTGGTGAGCGGTGGCTTCTCTTGTTGAGGAGCATAGGCTCTAGGTGCGTGGGCTTCAGTAGTTGTGGTACACTGGCTCAGTAGTTGTGGCTCACGGGCTCTAGATTTGCAGGCTCACTAGTTGTGGAGCATGGGCTTAGTTGCTCCGCGGCATGTGGGATCTTCCTGGACCAGGGACTGAACCCGTGTCCTCTGCATTGGCAGGTGGATTCTTAACCTTTGCACCACTGGGGAAGTCCCTGATTAGGACTTTTTTTTAAAAAAGAATTCATAAAACATACACACTGTTACTTGTAATCTATCAGAAATATTCCTTGTGTTTTCCTCCAGGAGAAACTTTTTAAAAGCTCCCAAAATGCCTATCTTATATGCCTAGAGAAAAAGGTCTGGAAAGATATAAAATGGCTATCTGTGAGTGATGGAATTATGAGCTTCTTTCTTTTGCTTTTGATTACTAAAATATATAATTAAAAAAAATAAACAGGTATTTGTCATTGGAAAAATAGCTGTTTTAATTTTACGAAGGCCAAGTAGAAATGTTTGAAAAATATAATAATGGAAAAAATATAATTAAACTCTGATCTTACCTATCAGCTGACGAATAAGCATTTTTGTAGAGTTTATTTCCTGTCTAATTTACTGATATTTTTTTCATTTTTCAGGCCTCATTCCCACTTGTTTTCCTGGGGTTACAGTCAGCTAATCCTTCATCTAATTAAACTTCCTGCAGATTTTACAACAAAAGAGAAAGTGACTGACATCTGTAGGTCTCATGGGTAAGTGAGAATTTTCCTAGAAGCTGAAGTTAAGATTAGAATCATTTTAGTTAGTAACTTTGTAGTTAGGGGCCTGAACGGATATGCTTTGTCATTTGGGATTTTTTTTTTGCTACATAAAGGTGGCTTTTTGTTTTTTTGTTGTTTTTTTTTTGCAGTACGCAGGCCTCTCACTGTTGTGGCCTCTCCCATTGTGGAGCACAGGCTCTGGACGCGCAGGCTCAGCGGCCATGGCTCACGGGCCCAGCCGCTCCACGGCATGTGGGATCTTCCCGGACCGGGGCATGAACCCGTGTCCCCTGCATTGGCAGGCGGACTCTCCACCGCTGCGCCACCAGGGAAGCCCGGCTTTTTGTTTTAAGTGATAATAAACATCTTTTTTTGTCTTAAATTTTGAGTGTATTTTATTTTGTGTGTGGAAGAGACTGGTCCTTGCTCATTCCTCTCTCCCCCTTTTGCTTAGTTGTTAGCCCCAGTTCTCAGGTTTATTTAATTAAGCACCAGACTGTGTGATACAAGTTATAATTGATATAGTTTTGGAGAAGGGAGAGATCAGAATGGGCTTGGTAGAATGGCTGGTGAAAAGACTCAGGGAGGAGGTGAGACTTTGAGGTAAGCCCTAAGCCTGGGTAGGATTTGTATTCAAACAGGAGCCAGGAGGAGGGCAAGTCAGGTGAGAGAAACAGCAAGAGCAAGGCCATGAAAAACTGCCATTGCTTTTTATCTGTACCACATATTTGTAGTTATTCATGGCCTGAAGATGTTATCTTATGGCTTTACCTGGATTACAGTCTTTTGGAGATAGGGACATGTGTCTTCCTTTTCCCTCATGATACATAATTCATAAAGTGGTAGGCACTTGGTACATATTTGTTCACTGATAATGAGGGATGAGACTGGCCAGGTTGTGGGTCATGAGATCATATAGGACCTTGAAAGGTGGTTAGAAGAATTTAGTTATCAGCAGAGACCCTTTTAGCCTTTTTGGTACAAAAATGACATGATAAAATGGAGGTTTCTGGAGATCATTTCTGGTTTCATACATGAGAAAGATTGGAGATGAGAAAGGAAGGCCAGCTAGGAAGCTGGTGCAGTAATTCAGGTATGACCAAATTGATTCTAGGTCAGCAGAAGGAGCACATCTAATGGCACATTTCAAAGGAAAATGCAGTGGGACCTGTAGATACTGGGTATAGCAAATGAAGGAAGGGGAAGAGTCAAGGAGAACTTCCAAAGTTTGCATACTTAGGGAAGAAATATGCTAGTTTGTTATTGAACCTTAAAGTTTATGAAGTGTATAAGCTTAAATGTCTCATAATTGGGGCTTGGCCTCAAATGTCAGTATTTATCACTAGCTTTATTTATTTTTTTCTTAAATGCTCTAGATCAGGGCTGTCTAATAGAATTTTCTGAGGCAGTGGAAATATTCTATCACGCTGTCCAGTATGGTAGCCACTAGTCACATGTGGCCATTAAGTACTTGAAATATGTATTGGTCAACTGAAGAACTGACTTTTAAATTTTATTTAATTTAAATGTAAATAGCCACATGTGGCTAATATCTACAGTATTGGACCACACAGCTCCAGATAAATTCACTGCTTTTTATTCCTCTCTCCAACTTTGGTCTCTTTAAAGTTTCTGGCCTGGATATCTTATTCTCTGTTTGGAGCTGGGGAGAAGAAGAGAGGCCTTCACGAATATTGTGTATCTGAATGATATGAGCCTGATGGAAGGGGACAATGGTATGTAAATCCCAGTCGGTTATTCTTGGTTATAGTATTTTAGAAGTCACTACAGACTATTCAATAAAGAAATTTGATAAATATTTCAATGATCATTTATGTTATTCTAGCTAGCTGTCACATTTTTGGAGTTTTTTTTTTTTTTTTTTAATCTGTACTACTTGGTATACCATGAAATCATAACTAGAAATAAACTACAGGCAACTTTTCTGTTTCATGAGTGCCTACCATGTGAGGCATTATATTGATACCTGATGCTTTTCCATATGCTGTTTAAATGAGATATTAAACCTGTGGGATAGTTACTATTATTTCGATTTTAAAAAAGTTATGATTGAGGCCCAGAAAAAGGATAATTAGTTTCCCCACAGTCATACAACTAGTTAATGCTGGAGCTGGTGTTCAGACCAGGTCTGACCATCTCTAAAGCTTGTGCTCAGGTTTTTTGATCTGCATCATGTTGCCATTTTACACAGCCCAAAGTTAGAGATCATTAAGATGAACTTAGAGTAGCAGTCAGATTTTCCTAAGCCTTTACAGGTACTTAGGGTTTTTTTGTTTTTTTTTTTTTAATTTTCATCAATTCAATACAGATAAAATGGCAGTCAGGAGGCCAGGACTTTGACACACTGATTTCTGAAGTCTGAGAGTTCATCCTGCACTCAGAGAGGTGGTCTTGGTCTGTTTTGTAGTGTTACTTTATTCATCTCAATGCAGAGATGCCAGCAGCATGACATCAGGATCCTTCATCTAGCAGTGTGATCTACAGCCTTTTTCAGCCCTATTGCTGTAGAAGAAGAAAAATTACAACCAAGCAAAGAAACCAGATGACTGGCAAAGAGATAGCCTCAGGTGTCACAGTTACAGCAATAATAACTGAATCATCTTTGTTTCAAAAATGAAACAAGAGGGTCACATGGTTTTGTAGAACTATAGATGTGTTCACTTTGGAAAAATAACCAGAAAAGTTAAGATATAAATGGTTTATTCTTTTAAAGTTACAACATGATGTTTGTTATAGAAAAAAATGGAAAATCTAGGAAGAATGAAGAAGATATCACCTAAAATTCTTCCCACCCAGATAAAAGTACTCTTAATATTTTGTTAATATAATAATAATAGCTATTCTTACCCTTGGTGTATTAAATGGGAGTCTTTTCTTGACATTTTTGTCTCCTAACTTATATTTCACTTCAAAGAATGTTGCTTTTGCTGCCAATTATATATCTCATATCTATCTACTTTCTTTGGCTCCACCACGGTCATTCTGATCCCAGCTACTTGCCTGGTTACTGCAATAACTTTATAATTAGCCTTCTGGTTTCCATTCTTGCCCATCTTTAACCGATTTTCCTTAGAGCAGCCAGAATGGTTCTTTTTTTTTAATTAAAAAAATTTTTATTGAGATAACATTGGTTTATAACATTATATAAGTTTTATGTGTACATTATATTTCCACTTTTGTATACCCTGCAGTGTACTCACCACTAAAAATTTAGTTTCCACCTGTCACCGTGTTTGTTCCCTTTTACCCATTTCACCCTGCCCCCACTCCGTCCCCTCTGGTAACCACTACTTTGTTCTTTGCATCTACATGTTTGTTTTTGTTTGGTTTGTTCATTTATTTTGTTTTTGTTTGTTTTTGTATTCCACAAATGAGTGAGATCATATGGTGTTTGCCTTTCTCTGTCTGACTTACTTCACTTGGCATAATATGCCCAAGGTCCATCCATGTTGTCACAAATGGCAAGATTTCTTCTTTTTTTTTATGGCTGAGAAGTATTCCATTACGTGTGTGTGTGTGTGTGTGTGTGTGTGTGTGTATGTATCACATCTTCTTTATCCATTCATCTATCGAAGGGCACTTAGGTTACTTCCGTATCTTGGCTATTATAAATAATGTTGCAGTGAACATAGGGATGCATATATCTTTTCCAGTTAGTGTTTTCATATTCTTTGGGTAAATACTCAGAAGTGGGATTGCTGGATCATATGGTAGTTCTATTTTCAGCTTTTTGAGGAACCTCCATGCTGTTTTCCACTGTGGCTGCACCAACTTACATTCCCACCAACAGTGCACAGAGTTCCCTTTTCTCCACATCCTTGCCAACATTTGTAGACTTTTTGATGATAGCCATTCTGACAGGTGTGAGGTGATATCTCATGTGGGTCTTTTTAATATAAATTTATTATTTTTTATTTATTTATTTTTGGCTGCGTTGGGTCTTTGTTGCTGCACGTGGGCTTTCTCTAATTGCGGCGAGCAGGGGCTACTCTTTGTTGCGGTGCACAGGCTTCTCATTTTTGTGGCTTCTCTTGTTGCGGAGCACGGGCTCTAGGTGCACGGGCTTCAGTAGTTGTGGCTCGCAGGCTGTAGAGTGCAGGCTCAGTAGCTGTGGCTCACGGGCTTAGTTGTTCTGCGGCATGTGGGATCTTCCTGGACCAGGGATTGAACCCGTGTCCCCTGCATTGGCAGGCGGATTCTTAACCACTGAGCCACCAGGGAAGTCCTCCCATGTGGTTTTGATTTGCATTTCCCTAATAATTAGTGATGTGGAACATCTTTTCATGTGCTTCTTGGCCATCTGTATGTCATCTTTGGGAAAATGTCTATTCAGTTCCTCTGCCCACTTTTTCATCCAGTTGTTTATGTATTTTTGGTTATTAATCTCTTATTGGATATATTATTTGCAAATATCTTCTCCAATTCAATAGGTCATCTCTTCATTTTGTGGATGGTTTCTTTTGCTGTGTAGAAGCTTTTTAGTTTGATGTAGTCCTATTTGTTTATTTTTGCTTTTGTTTCCCTTGCCTGAGGAGACCTAGCTAGAAAGATATTCCTAGGACTGATGTCAGAGAGTGTCATGCCTATGTTTTCTTCTAGGAATTTATGGTTTTGGGTCTTACATTTAAGTCTTTAATCCATTTTGAGTTGATTTTTGTGTATGGTGTGAGGTAGTGGTCTACTTTCATTTTTTTGCATGAGACTGTCCAATGTCCCCAACACCATTTATTGAAGAGACTATCCTTTCTCCATTGGATGTTCCTTATTCCTTTGTTGTATATTAATTGTCCATATATGTATGGGTTTATTTCTGGGCTCTCAGTTCTGTTCCATTGATATATGTATCTGTTTTTCTGCCACTACCATGCTGTTTTGATTACTATGGCTTTATAATATAGTTTTAAATCAGGGTGTGTGATACCTCCAGCTTTGTTCTCTTCGCTCAGGATTGTTTTGGCTATTTGGGGTCTTTTGTGGTTCCATGTAAATTTTAGAATTTTTTGTTTTATTTCTGTGAAAAATGTTTTTGGGGTTTTGATAAGGATTGTATTGAATCTATAGATTGCTTTGGCAATATGGACATTTTAACAATGTTAATTCTTCCAGTCCATGAGCAGGGAATATCTTTCCATTTATTTGTGTCGTCTTCAGTTTCTTTTAGCGGTGTCTTATAGTTTTCAGTATACAGGTCTTTCACCTCCTCGGTTAAATCTGTTCCTAGGTATTTTATTCTTTTTGTTGTGACTGTAAATGGAATTGTTTTCTTAATTTCTTTTTCTGCTAGCTCATTGTTAGTGTATAGAAACGCAACAGATTTTTGAATGTTGATTTGTACCCTGCAACTTTATTATTTCTAGTAGTTCTTTGGTGGAGTCTTTAGGGTTTTCTATGTATAAATCATGTCATCCACAAATAGTGACAGTTTCACTTCTTCCTTTCCAATTTGGATGCCTTTTCTTTTTCTTGCCTGATTGCTCTAGCTGGGACTTCTGGTACTATATTGAATAAGGGTGGTAAGAGTGGGCATCCTTGTCTTGTTCCTGATTTAGAGGGCTAGCTTTCAGTTTTTCACCATTGAGAATGATATTAGTTGTGAGTTTGTCATATATATGGCCTTATTATGTTGAGGTATGTTCCTTCTATGCCCACTTTATTGAAAGTTCGTTTTATCATAAATGGGTGTTGAATCTTGTCAAATGCTTTTTTTTTTTTGCATCTATTGAGATAATTATATGGTTTTTGTCCTTCATTTTGTTAATGTGGTGTATCACATGAATTTATTGTGGATACAACTATTCTTGCATCCCTGGAATAAATCCCACTTGGTCATGGTGTATGATTCTTTTTATGTATTGTATTCGGTTTGCTAATATTTTGTTGAGAATTTTTGCATCTATGTTCATCAGAGATACTGACCTGTAATTTTTTTGAGTCTTTGTGTGGTTTTGGTATCAGGGTGTTGTTGGCTTTGTAAAATGAGTTAGAAAGCATTCCCTTCTCTTCAAGAGTTTGAAAAGGATAGGTATTAAGTCTTTTGAATGTTTGGTAGAATTCACCTATGAAGGCATCTGGTCCTAGACTCATGTTTTTTAGGAGCTTTGATTATTATTTCAATTTCTGTACTAGTGATCGGGCTATTTAGATTTTTCATTTCTTCATGATTCAGTCTTGGAAGGTTTTATGATTCTAAGAATTTGTCCATTTCTTCTAGGTCGTCCAGTTTGTTGGCGTGTAGCTGTTCATATTATTCTCTTATAAGCCTTTCTATTCCTGTGGTATCCATTGTTATCTTTCTTCTTGCATTTCTGATTTTATTTATCAGAGCCTTCTCTAAGATTAGTGAGTCTAGCTAAAGATTTGTCAATTTTGTTTATCTTTTCAAGAACCAGCTTTTAGTTTTATTGATCTTTTCTATTGTCTTTTTAGTCTTTATTTCATTTATTTCTGCTCTGATCTTAATTATTTCCTGCCTTCTACTGATTTGGGGCTTCATTTGTTCTTTTTCTAGTTCCTTTATGTACAGGGTTAGATTGTTTATTTTAGATTTTTCTTGTTTCTTGAGGTAGGCATGTATTGCTTAAACTTCCCTTTTAGTATCACTTTTGCTGCATTCCATAGATTCTGGCATGTCATATTTTCATTTGTCTTTGGGTAACTTTTGATATCTTCTTTGATTTTCATTGACTTGGTAGTTGTTCAGTAGCATGTTGTTCAGTCTCCACATATTTGTAATTTTTCCAGCTTTCTTATAGTTGATTTCTAGTTTCATAGAAATTGGAAAATATACTTGATATGATTTCAGTCTTCTGAGATTTGTTTTGTGTCCCAACATACAGTTTACCCTTGAGAAAGTTCCATGTCCACGTGAGAAGAATGTGTATTCTGATGCAATTGAATGGAATGTTCTGTACAAATCTATCAAATCCATCTAGTCTGATGTTTCATTTAAGGCTGCTACTTCCTTGTTGACTTTCTGTCCGGATGATCTATCCATTGATGTCAGTGGGCTGCTAAATTCCCCTATTATTGTGTTGCTGTCAATTTCTCCTTTTAAGTCTGTTAATAATTGTTTTATATATTTTGGTGCTCCTGTGTTAGGTGCATATATTAATAACATTATGTCTTTGTGATGAATTATCCCCTTTATCATTATATACTATCCACTTTTGTCTCTTGTTATCTTTTTTGGTTTGAAGTCTATTTTGTCTGATATAAGTATGGCTACACCCACTTTCTTTTGGCTGCCATTTGCCTGGAGTGTCATCTTCCATCTCTTTACTTTGAGCCTATAATTGTCTTAAACTCTGAGATGAGCCTCCTGGAGGCAGCATGCAGTTGGCTCTTGGTTTTTAATCCACCCAGCCTTTCTGTGTCTTTTGATTGGTGAATTCAATCCATTTACATTTAGGATGATTATTGACAGATGAGGATTTGGTACTGCTATTTTATCTTTCGTTTTCTGGTTGCTCTATATCTTCATTATTTCTTTTTCCTTGTATTTCTGTCTGCCATTTTGCTTTGGTGTTTTTTCATGATGTTTTTCTCACTTTCCTCTTTTTTAATGTTTTGTGTCTTTGCTCTAGATTTATTTTTTGTGGTTACCATGGGGTTTGTATGAAACATGTCATAGATAAAGTAGTCCTTTTTCTGCTTATAGCATCTTATCTTTATGTACCTATATGAGTTCCACCCTTTTCCTCTCCCCCTTTTGTATTTTTCTTGCCTCAAATTATCCCTTTTTATGTTGTGAGTTTGTTACCAAATTGAAGTAGCTATAATTACTTTTTCTACTCATCTTTGCCCTTTAACCTTTATGCTGTAAAGTGTTTAAAAAACCTATTCTGATAAAGTGTTGCAGTTTAAAGATTCTGTCTGCGTATCACTTTACTCAAAGATTTGTGTACTTTGCTCTTTTCTGTTTGTTTGTTTCTGGTAAAGAGCTCCTTTCAACATTTCTTGTAAATGCAGGTCTAGTGTTGATGAACTTCCTCAGCTTTTGTTTGTCTGGGAAAGTCCTTATTTATCATTCATATCTGAATGATAACTTTGCTGGATAGAGTATTCTTGGGTGATGGTTTTTATCTTTCAGTATTTTGAGAATGTCATTCCACTTTCTTCTGGACTGTAGAGTTTCTGCTGAGAAATCTGTTAATAGCCTAATGGAGGTTCCTTTGTAGGTTACCCTTCCTTTTTCCCCTGGCTGCCTTAATTCTTTGTCATTGACTTTTAACAATTTTAATATAATATGTCTTGAAGAAGGTCTTTTTAAAATACATTTATTTATTTATTTATTTATTTTTGGCTGCGTTGGGTCTTCATTGCTGCGTGCGGGCTTTTTCTAGTTGTGGCGAGCGGGGCCTACTCTTGATTGCAGTGCTCTGGCTTCTCATTGTGGTGGCTTCTGTTGTTGCAGAGCATGGGCTCTAGGTGGGTGGGCTACAGTAGTTGTGGCATGTGGGCTCAATAGTTGTGGCTCGTGGGCTCTAGAGTGCAGGACCAGTAGTTGTGGCACACGGGCTTTGTTGCTCCGCGGCATGTGGGATCTTCCTGGACCAGGGCATGAACCCATGTCCCTTGCATTGGCAGATGGATTCTTAACCACTGTACCAGCAGGGAAGGAAGTCCCTTGAAGAAGGTATTTTTGTATTGAGATAATTAGGTGTTCTCTTAGCTTCATGGGCTTGTGTATCCAGTTCCTTCTCCAGTTTGGGAAGCTCTCAGCTATTACTTCTTTAAATAAACTCTCTGCTCCCCTCTCCCTTTCTTCTCCTGGGAAACCCATTACCCTAATGTTGTCTTTCCTAAGGAGTTGGATAGTTCTCATAGAATTTTTTCAAATATCTTATTTCTTTATTCTGCTTGTGTCATTTCTAGAGTTCTATCTTCAAGCTCACTAATTCTCTCTCCCATGTGATCTGCTCTATTTTCAGTGCTTTCTAATGTTTTCTTCAACTCATTTATTGAATTCTCTAGTTCTAGAATTTGTTTTTCGTTTTTAGAGTTTTAATCTCTTTTGTAAAGTATTCCTCTGTTCATTAATTTCGTTCCTGAGTTCATTGAACTGCCTGAGTTTTCTTGTAGTTCCTTGACTTTCTTCATGACAGCTATTTTGAATTCTCTGTCAGTTAGATCACAGTATTCTGTGACTTTAAGTTTGGTTTCTGGAGAATTGTAATTTTCCTTTTGTGGTACAGTGTCACTATGGTTCTTCACAGTGTTTGATGAAGTTGTTCCTCTGACACACATTTAAAGTAGCAAGCACCTTTCTCCTTGATTCTAATGATCCAACAGGTTAGAAATTAGAGGCCTTTCTTTTGTTTTCCAGTAGGTGGCGCTATAGCACAAGTTTTGGGTTTCTCTTACATCAGCTGCCTCTGGTTATATTTGAGAGTCTGCATTTTGTGCCCTCTACCATCTCCATCTGTGGTGTGGCCCGATGCCTGCATTATCACTTCCTGTACCTGCAGGGTCGCCTTACTTCTGCCAGTGTTGCTAGCATTGCCACCTGGTGCACCAGGATGGTGGGCTCCCTCCTGTCCAGGAGCCCTTGAGTGGCAAGTTCCACTGCTATTGGGGAGGAAGGGGCAGGGGCAATAGCTAGGATTGCTCAGGTGGCCCTGCCATGTCCAGTGTTGTAAGATTCATGGGCTTGCTACTTCGAGTTGGGGGCTGGAGGCTGGGGTCATGTGCACTGCTTCCCCTGCTACTGTCAGCTTCTCTGGGGCTGGAGGGCTGGGACTGCAGACACCACCTCCACTGTTTCCCTGGTTCTGCCTCTTCTATGTGTTCCAGTCCATCACCTTTAGTTGTATAGATATGTGGAGAATTCTCTGGTTTCTTGGTGTGTCGGACACAAGAACCTTTGTTGTGTTGTGGATGTTTTACTGGTTGTAGGTTAAGGGGAGAGACAAAGGTAGCTTTTCACTCCACCACGTTGCTGACTCTCAGAATGGTTCTTTTAAACAAAAATTGGATTATGTGGCTGTCCTCCTTGAAGCCCCTTACATTGGACTCAAAATCCAGATTCTTAAGCTGTTCCCTTATGGCCTGGCCCTATCATCTCATTCTCGCTCCTCACTGTGCATTGTAGGCCTTTGTGCATTGTAGGCCTTTTTTGAATTCCTTGAACTCACCTAGTTCCTTCCTGTGTCGAGTCATTTTCCATGTTTCCTTTGTCAGAAATGCAGGCTCCTTCACCCTCCATTCCTGACACCTTCCCTGCACGTTTGTGTACATATGGGCCACAAGCACATGCTCACTAAACTTGTCTCATCTTTCAGCTCTCTGCTTAACTGTCACTTCTCATACAGCCCTTCTCTGATCCTTAAAAAAAAAACAAAAAAACACCCAAACCTGCCAATCTCTCTAATGGCTCTTTGATCTTTTCCTTTATAGCAAGCACTTAGCACAGTTTATAAGCATAGATTTATTTATGTGTTTGTCTAAGTTCTGTCTCCTTTACTGGACCATGAGTTCCACAGGAATGCAGGCCGGGCTCATCATGTCTGTTTGTTCCTCATTCACATTCAGTGCCTAGAATGGAGTGTGCCCTGGGTAATTACTTACTGCGTGAGCAAATGAAGGAATGTTGAAGCTAATTTTATGGCTTCTCCTTTTCGTGAGCTATTTGTTCAACAAATATTCAGAAAACAACTCTGTATTGGGGGTAATGAGATTATATTCTTTAATATTTTTATGTTTTGGTATGAAACATTTTCACGAATAGTTTCTCCTGTATGCAGGCAGAGTGCTAAGAGCGGTCAGAGCCCATATTGTTTCTCTGTGTTTGAGTAGGTTGGATCCCAGAGACTGCGGAGGAATGGAAGCTTCTCCTACATCTGGTACAGAGCAAGAGCACAAAGCCAGCCCCCCAGAAGTCACCAAATGGGAACTTCAGCGATGGGCCTTCCCCTATCAACGTGGAGAATGTGGCACTCCTGTTAGCTAAGGTCATGGGCCCAGACCGGGCCTGGTCACTGCTACAAGAATGTGGTTTGACCCTTGAGCTGTCAGAGAGGTTTACCAGAACCTGTGATATCCTGAGGATTGCCGAGAAAAGGCAGAGGTAATGTATGTCTGTCCTGCCCTATCCACAGGCACCTGGTGAATGTAGAATTGCACAGATTTTCAGAGGTGGATGGGACTATAGAGATCACATAGTCTCAACCCCTCATTCATAGATGAGGGAACAGAGACTCCTCTGTTGATGAAGGTGATTAAGAGAAGAGGCTAAAGTAATATTTTGTTCACAGTCATCACCAAAACACTGTTTAGGTTAATGTAAATACCCAAATCTGATGTGTACTCAATTCTTTAAGAATATTGTTGGTACCACATACCTAATTGTCTCAGTCAGGGTTTTTTTTTGTTTTGTTTTTTTTAAACTGTGGTAAAATACAGATAACATAAAATTTCCTGCCAACCGTTTTTAACTACTTGGTTCAGTAGTGTTAAGTATATTCATATCAGTGTGCAGTTTCCAGAACTTTTTCAGCTTACAAAACTGAAACTCTATACCCATTAAACAACAGCTCCCCCTTTCCCCTCCACCTAAGCCCTGGTAACCACCATTCTACTTTCTGTCTCTGACTTTGACTACTCGAAGTACCTCATATAAGTGGGATCATACAGTGTTTGTCTTTTTGTGACTGGCTTGTTTCACTTAGCGTAATGTGAGTAATGCTGCTATGAACATGAGTTTACAGATATCTCTGAGACCCTGCTTTCAGTTCTTTTGGGTGTATACCCAGGTGTGGAATTGCTGGATCAGATGGTACTTCTATTTTTAATTTTTTGAGGAACCTCCATACTGTTTTCCATGGAGCCTGCACCATTTTACATTCCCACCAATTATAGCACATCCCCACCAACACTAGTTATTTTCTGTTTTGTTTTGTTTTTTTGGATAGTAGCTATCCTAATGGGCATGAGGTGATATCTCATTGTGGTTTTATTTGCATTTCCCTAGTGATTATTGATGTTGAACATCTTTTCATATGCTCGTCGGCTATTTGAATGTCATCTTTGGAGAAATACCTGTTCAAGTCTTTTGCCCATTTTTAAATTGCATTATTTGTTTTCTGTCATATGAGTTCTTTACATATTCTCAATATTAACCTCTCAGATATGTGATTTGCAAATATTTTCTCCTGTTGTATAGGACAGGATGCCATATTCACAGGATGCCTTTTCATCTGTTGATTGTGTCTTCTGATGCACAGAGTCAGTCAGCTTTTTTAATCCTTTCTTCTGAAAAGAATGAACAATGACAGCTAAATTTGCCTGTTTCTTTTCTTTGGGATTTCAGAGCCTTGATACAAAGCATGCTTGAAAAATGTGATCGGTTTCTCTGGTCTCAGCAGGCCTAATTGAAGAAGATTCAGCAGGGTGTCACGACATTTTGAGAAAAACTGAATCGTGCTCCGGAACCTTCTGAATGCATTTGTTATTGAAGGAAAGGCCCCACCTGAGATCCCTGCCACCTTATTGGGAGCACTTTTGTCCATGTCTGTAACCTCTGCATTTGTGGCTCTATCTGTACCTCAGTGTTTTTCAACTGAAGTTGAATTTTGAAAGGAATCAGTCCTTGTTTGCTGAAATGAAGTGCTCTGGAAGGAATCAGAATGTGAATATCCTCAGCTATGCAGTCCTTATTCTGAACAACAGTGTTATTTGTTCCTTGCTGGTGGACTGGGGGAATTCTTTTCCTGTCGTGACTGCCATGTAGGGAGCAGAAGTTTCTCATCCTGGTCACATGAAGACATACAATGTAATTGACAGAAATTGAATTCCTTTTTTATCTTCTCTGGGACACTTGAGAAATTACCAAAGTAAGATCTGGTATAATGGAATTAACACATAAAATGAGTGAAATACTGAAGATTCAAATCAGATGTTTAAATGAAATGGCCCCATATTTAAATTGAGCTAATTTAAAGTGTATTTTTTTTTTCCAGTGCTTGACATTTTCTAATCTGAACCTATATACAACTAATTCATTACTGGAAATGTTTTACTCCAGTCTTTCCTAAACAGTAGCCTAAAGGAATCATGCACTTTTAAAATTTGTTTTTTAAAAGCCATAATAAAGGAAGGCTGAGTACTGATAAAGATCACAGCAAGTGCTTGTATTATTTAAGCCAAGTACTAGATTGCCATTTTCAGGCTCCTGGATACTTACACAGCATGTTATATTAATAATAAATGTAAAATCTAATTTAAAAATTATTTGAATGGAATGTAGACATGAGGTTTTATAGTGAGCAATTTGCAGGAAGGTGTGGTGTAAACTCGGTGTGGAATAAGCAAAGTGTTGGGTACATTGAATGATTCACTTCTTTCTTTCATTTATAACACAGCCAGAGAACTATAGACACAAATTGCTGTCATACTTCCATGTGACATTTGGATATGACATAACCAGATTAGTTGAAGAGATGATCAGAGAAGGGAGGCTTCACAAAGCTTCTTAGCATTTTGGGAAGTGTGGAAAACCTAACAATTTTGGTCACCAGTGTGTGGCAGAGTGTGTGTGGGGGGTGTCTCCCCACACCAAGCAATTCTCCAACACCAGCTGGGTGTCCTACAACTCAACTCAATTGAACGTATCTCCCTGGAGATAGCATCCGATTTCACAGGTTAGGGGTTCAGAACCACAAAACTGCCCCCACTTAAGATGCCAGTCACAAATCCAGGTTGTTAACCGTACAGGCGTACCTCTTTTTTTTTTTCAGGCATACCTCTTTTTATTGTACTTTGCTTTATTGTGCTTCACAGATAGTGTTTTTTTTCTTTCTTTTTTGTTTTCTTTAACAAATTGAAAGTTTGTGGCAACCCTGTGTTCAGTAAGTCTATCAGTACAATTTTTCCAACAGCATTTCCTTACTTTGTGTCTCTGTCACATTTCCCTGATTCTTGGAATACTTCAATCTTTTTCACTCTCATTATTTGTCAGGGTGATCTGTGATCAGTGATCTTTGATGTTACTATTGTAATTGTTTTGTGGCACCACTGCACCCATGTATGATGGTGAACTTAATCGAGAAATGTGTGTTGTGACTGCTCCAACTGGCCGTTCCCCATCTCTCTCCCTCTCCTCAGGCTTCCCTATTCCCTGACACACAGCAATATTGGAATTAAGCCAATTAGTAACCCTATAATGGCCTCTTAAGTATTCAAGTGAAAGGAAGAGTTACACATCTCTCACTTTAAATCAAAAGCTAGAAATGATTAAGCTAAGTGAGAAAGGCATGTTGAAAGCTGAGATAGGCTGAAAGGTAGGCCTCTTGCATCAAATAGCCAAATTGTGAATGTAAAGGAAAAGTACATGAAAGAAATTGAAAGTGCTACTACAGTGAATACAAGAATGAGAAAAAAGTGAAAGAGCCTTATTGCTGATATGGAGAAAGTTTTAGTAGTCTGGATAGAAGATCAAACCAGTCACAACATTCCCGTAAGCCAGAGCCTAATCCAGAGCAAGGCCCTAACTCTTCAATTCTGTGAAGGCTGAGAGAGGTGAGGAAGCTACAGAAGAAAAGTTTGAAGCTGGCAGAGGTTGGTTCATGAGGTTTAAGGAAAGAAGCCGTCATCATAACATAAAAGTGAAGCAGCAAGTGCTGATGTAGAAGCTGCAGCAAGTTATCCAGAAGATCTAGCTAAGATCATTAATGAAGGTGGCTACACTAAACAACAGATTTTCAGTGTAGACAAAACGGCCTTATATTGGAAAAGGAGGCCATCTAGTACTTTTCATAGCTAGAGAGGAGAAGTCAATGCCTGGCTTCAAAGCTTCAAAGGACAGGCTTCCTCTCCTGTTAGGGGCTAATGCAGGTAGTGACTTTCAGTTGAAGCCAATGCTTATCTACCATGGTGAAAATCCTAGGGCCCTTAAGAATTATGCTAAGTTTACTCTTCCTGTGCTCTATAAATGGAACAACAAAGCCTGGATGACAGCACAAGTGTTTACAACATGGTTTAATGAATATTTTAAGCTCCCTGCTGAGACCTACCGCTCAGAAAAAGAGATTCCTTTCAAAATATTACTGCTCACTGACAATGCACCTGGTTGCCCAAGAGCTCTGATGGAGTTGTACATCAAGTTTAATGTTGTTTACATGCCTGCTAATACAACATTCATTCTGCAGCCCATGGATCAAGGAGTAATTTCAACTATCAAGTCTTATTTTTTAAGAAATACATTTTGTAAGACTATAGCTACCATAGATAATGATTCCTCTGATGATTTGGGCAAAGTAAATTGGAAACCTTCTGGAAAGGATTCACCATTCTAGATGCCATTAAGAACATTCATGATTCGTGGGAAGAGGTCAACATATTAACATTAATAGAAGTTTGGAAGAAGTTGATTCTAACCCTCATGGATGACTTTGAGGGGTTCAGGACTTCAGTGGAGGAAGTAATTGTACGTGTGGAAATAGCAAGAGAACTAGAATTAGAAGTGGAGCTTGAAGATATGACTGAATTGCTGCAGTCTCATGGTAAAACTTTAACGGATGAGGAGTTGCTTCTTATGGGTGAGCAAAGGAAGTGGTTTTTGAGGTGGAATCTACTGGTGAAGATTGCTGTGAAGATTGTTGAAATGAAAACAAATGATGTAAAATATTACATAAACTTAGTTAATAAAGCAGTGGCAGGGTTGAGAGAAAAATGACTCTAATTTTGAAAGAAGTTCTACTGTGAATAAAATGCTATCAAACAGTATTGCCTGCTACAGAGAAATCATTTGTGAAAGGAAGAGAAGGAAGAGTCGGTGATCTGCCAAACTTCATCGTTGTCTTATTTTAAGAAATTGCCACAGCGCCCCAACTTCATCAAACACCACGCTGATCAGTGAGCTGCCATCAACATGGAGGCAGGACCCTCCACCAGCAGCAAGATTACAATTTGCTGAAGGCTCAGAAGATGCTTAGCATTTTTTTTTAGCAATAAAGCAGTTTTAAATTAAGGTATATACATTTTTTTAAGACAATGCTATTGCACGCTTCATAGACTATAGTATAGTGTAAACATAACTTTTATATGCACTGGGAAACCAAAAAATTCATGTGACTCACTTTATTGCTGTGGTCTGGGGACAGAACCCACAATATCTCCAAGGTATGCCTGTACTTCTGACCAACTGGCTATAAATCAGAGGTTCCCGTGACCCGCTCCTTGGGTTCAATTAATTTGCTAGAGTGGCTCACAGAACTCAGAGAAACATTTTACTTACTTAGATTATCAGTTTATTATAAAAGGCCCAGGAACAGCTGGCTGGAAGGGTAAGGTATGGGGAAGGGGCAAGGAGCTTCCATGCCCTCTCCTAGTGCCACTCTAGACCAATCTCCACGTTTACCAACTGGAAGCTCTAGATAAAGCAGCGGCAGCATTGAGAGTGGAGATAGGCTGGATGTTGAGTTCAATTGCCAATGGCCAGTGTCAAGAGTGGGACTGAAAGTTCCAACCCTCTAATCACATGGTTGGCTCCACTGGCAGCCAGCCCCCATCCTTAGGTGTGGTCCAAAACTCACCTCATTTACATAACGAAAGACACTTTTCTCCCTCTCATCACCTTGGAAATTCCAAGGGTTTTAGGAACTCTGTGCCAGGAAAGGAGATGAAGACCAAATATAAATTTCTTATCACAGTATCACACCTTCCCACTAGTTCAGCTGGATTGTGGCTGTATTGGATTAAGTTGACTGTGAGTCTATAAGGTAAAGGGTGAGAGCCCTCCTGTCACTTTCAGCTTTTGTCATTACACAGTGACTGTCCAAAAGAGGGTGTGGAGGAAATCTCAGGAGGAGGAGACACCTTGAACTGGCACAATTGTGCAATCATTTCCCGACAGATCGTTTTAGGGCACGTTACAGCAATCCTCATTTACCTAAAGGGTAACAGAATTTTCTAGCATTAAAACAACCCCCCCGAAACCCCACATCATCTGAATTTATTTTCTAAGGGAAACAAACAAAAATCCCATTCAGTTAAACATTTAAATTTGAACAGCCTACTTGGATATTAGGCGGTGTTTTCAAATACAACTTGTAATCTTTCACTTGCCTAAAAATGATAGATTGATTCATGGTTGCCTCACTTTTATTTTTGCATCCAGACTTGACTGGTGTTTAACAGGGCTTCAGGGTATCATAATGGCGGAGGGCTTGGGTTTGTCGACTGAAAAAAAGGAAGCACAATGTGAGAACTGTGAGGTTTTTTTGTTTGTTTTTTTGCGGTACGCGGGCCTCTCACTGTTGTGGCCTCTCCCGTTGCGGAGCACAGGCTCCGGACGCGCAAGCTCAGCGGCCATGGCTCACTGGCCCAGCCACTCCGCGGCCATGTGGGATCTTCCCAGACCGGGGCACGAACCCGTGTCTCCTGCATTGGTAGGTGGACTCTCAACCACTGCGCCGCCAGGGAAGCCCATGAGTTAAGTTTTATTTGGGGCAAAATGAGGACTACTGCCCGGAGACTGCATTTCAGATAGCTCTGAGAAACTGCTCCAAAGAGGTTGGGGGAAGGTCAGTGTTGTAAATGATTGTAGTGAAGGGGGGTGGTGCGTGCAGTCAAGCATGCAGTTGGACAGAGGCTTGCTGCTAGTCAGGAGGAGCAGATGTCACAGTTAATAATTTTAGTTCTTTTCTAGATGTGAGTAGATGCAAGAATTGGAGCTCATAAGATCTTCTCCTGAAAATATCTAACTATATGAAGACCTGTTTTGCCAGTTTTTCCCAGATCAGAGTGCCGCATTCCTGATCTCCACCCTGACCTCCTTTCAGGGGGTGTTGAAGGTCAGCAGCCACAGTGGTTCATGATTCAATCCTTGTAGAGGTAGATGGCAATGCCAAATTTTAGTTGGCAGGTTCTGAGGCAGACTGGCTTTGAATGTCTGCTCTTTATCTAGATGACCTTAGGTGAGTTCCTTTGTTTCCCCAAGTTTCAGCTTCCTCATCTGTCAAATATGGATAATAGTAGCAGTCCCCTTGGGGGTAGTTTGAGGATTAAATGAGGTAATGAATGTGAACCAGAGCTACCTCATGGTGACAATTAAATGAGACTAAAATGCAGAGCATACTGCCTGTGGCATAGTGTCTGGGTAATAAATATTAGTTGTCGTTTGAAAGATTTGGAATATCGTTTCACCCAGTAGTGATCAGACCCATGTACACTGGTTTTCATGAATGAAAGACAGTGGGAAGACCAAAATTGAAATAATTTCCTTGCATGTATTTAATTTGTCACTGCCCTGGCCAAGGCTCAAAACCTTGTCGTCATCCTTGCCCCCTTCCTCAACCCTCACTTCCAATTACTAGGTAAATTCCCTCAATTCTACATCGGTGGTGTTTTCCGTTAGTCATTTATTTTTCCATTCTCTGTTGCCACCATCCCACATTCTCATTACTTCTTGCCAAGACAATTACATCAGTCTTACGGGAACTTTCTTCACTTCTGTTAAAAAAACAAAATTCAACAGTACATTTGAAGGTCTAGTTGGCTTTATTCAACAACTCATGAATCAAACAGCATCACACCTAGCAACTAGAAGAGTGCTCTGAGTGCGTGTACGAAACGGAGAGCTTTTATAGGAAGAAGGGTGGGACAAGACAAAAGAAAAAAGATTATTTCTAGGTCAGGATATCTTCTTTTTGGGGGAAAGGGATCATCAAAACTTTTATCATGCATGTTACCTCTTCTGGGGGTGGGGCGTGGATGGAGAGGGCCCACATGCAGATTACCTCTTCGGTGCTGACCAGAAAATTCCACTGGTTAAGATTACATTTCTGGGGAGGGTTGAAACTGCAACTAAGTCAAGTATTAAGTCTAGGCTTGGTATCACGGGAGCACAAGTGGCACCATTTTGGGCCTGTGGTTTTCTCGTTAACACTTCTAAAGACTGCCTTCCCCACCACCACCGAGTCTCAGCACATCACAATGGAACCAGCGTTAGGTACCACCCAGTCAGGTGATTCACGAACTTGCCATGCATCAGAATCATCACAGGAGCTCGTTAAAAATACAGACGCTGGGATCCTGCCCCAGACCTGGAACTTGTAGATCTAAGGACTAATTTAACCTCCTTCAGCTTGTCTCCTACCCCCACGTTATTCCTAAATTTAGATGTAGAGTTATCCTAGTATGTAGATAAACCTAGGCCCCTGAGAAAGAGTGATTCCCTGGGTCTCAAGGGAAGTTAATTGGAGATATATTGTCAGAATCCTTGTCCTCTGAGGCATAGCCTTAAGCCACTTCCCAATCAGAAACTTTCGGTGGCTCTCCTCTGCTTTCAAAATAAAGCCCAAATCCTTGAGATTGACATTTAAACTGATGAAACAAAATTATTTTAAGGCAGGACAAGAAAAAAATCTAACGTAAAATTTTCTCTGCTTTTTGAACCACTATCCCCTCCCCTTTAGTGTACATTGTGCATCTGTACTACACATTAACTAGGTTCCCTTAGAAGACACAGGAATGCCTACTTGCCAAAAAGAAAAAAAAAAGCAATTTCCTCCTGGCATCAGCAAGGTAACACTTTTTTTAAAATTATTTTTATTTATTTACTTTTTTTGTGTGGTACGCAGGCCTCTCACTGTTGTGACCTCTCCCGTTGCGGAGCACAGGCTCCGGACGCGCAGGCTCAGCGGCCATGGCTCACGGGCCCAGCCGCTCCGTGGCATGTGGGATCTTCCCGGACCAGGGCACGAACCCGCGTCCCCTGCATCGGCAGGCGGACTCTCAACCACTGCGCCACCAGGGAAGCCCCCAGGGAAGCCCCCAGCGAAGCCCCGAGCAAGGTAACTCTTTAGGAATTAACATTTCCTTTTAATCCTGTAAAGAGTCACAATGACCCACTGCTTGCCTATTGGACTACATAGTCAATATGTCACTTTGATGTATAACCCTTTGCCTCAAAAACTTATATAACTGCTTTGACCTCTAATGGGTGGAACGGCTTGCAGGATCTTAGTTCCCTGACCAGGGATCAAACCGCGTCCTTGGCTGTGAAAGAGCAGAGTCCTAACCACTGGACCACCAGGGAATTCCCCTCAGAGCTTTTTTTTTTTTTTTTTTTATATTTTTTTTTTTTTTTTACACTTTTTTTTTTTTTTTTTAACATCTTTATTGGGGTATAATTGCTTTACAATGGTGTGTTAGTTTCTGCTTTCTAACGAAGTGAATCAGTTATACATATGTTCCCATATCTCTTCCCTCTTGCGTTTCCCTCTATCCCACCCCTCCAGGCGGTCACAAAGCACGGAGCTGATCTCCCTGTGCTATGAGGCTGCTTCCCACTAGCTCTACCTTACCTTTGGTAGTGTATATATGTCCATGCCTCTCTCTCACTTTGTCACAGCTTACCCTTCCCCCTCCCCATATTCTCAAGTCCTTTCTCTAGTAGGTCTCTGTCTTTATTCCTGTCTTAGTCCTAGGTTCTTCATGACATTTTTTTTTCTTAAATTCCATATATACATGTTAGCATACGGTATTTGTCTTTCTCTTTCTGACTTACTGCACTCTGTATGACAGACTCTAGGTCTATCCACCTCATTACAAATAGCTCAATTTCGTTTCTTTTTATGGCTGAGTAATATTCCATTGTATATATGTGTCACATCTTCTTTATCCATTCATCCGATGATGGACACTTGGGTTGTTTCCATCTCCTGGCTATTGTAAATAGAGCTGCAATGAACATTTTGGTACATGACCCTTTTTGAATTATGGTTTTCTCAGGGTATATGCCCAGT